CGCCCACACCTAGACAGGAGGACGATTAGGGTCCTCAACCAAAGCCTTTGGCTCAAAAGCCTAACCGCAAGGCAGCGGTGTTTGGCGGGAAATGCAAATGCATTACCATTTCTACGGAACAAGTCGCTACACGTTCCAACCCCCAACCTGGAGGGCCAGGAGACTGTGTTCGTCAGACTTCTAACCATTGACCAACCTGGTATGAGAGACTCTGTGAGTGTCGCGAGAAACTCTCCAGTATAGCTCAATGGATCACTGAGGTGCGCAAACCGTCACACCACGGTAAGGTCCAGTCTCTTCGTGATGGACGCTGTTAGAGAGTATCATAGACTCTCACATAGACAGAAACATTTGAATATATACTAATCGGATTATGTTCATAGACCTTTGGGTTAGAGCGCAAATTTACTGGCTGGAGGGTCCGTGGTTCGAGCCCGACCTCTGCCTCTTGACTTCTCTTATCTAGACTTGGGCAACCGACATGGCAATTAGGCACCGGAAGGATGCTAAAGCTCAATGATTTTTTGGGCATCCCTTGGAGCACGCGTACCCTTTGTGAAAATGTGTACTGTTGCCTACTCACCTGTTGTGTGGGACGGTCTCTTTCTCATAGACAGACCTAAATAAGCTTGACAGGCACTGGCCGAATTCTCACCCATACGTGAACAGAGCAGGCAAAAATTCGTCAGGACCAGAATCATGATAAGGTTTAAGCAGATGCATACATTATGACACTTCTGAAACAGAAGAGGGTTCCGTTTAAAGTCCCCCTTTTTGTTGAAGATAAGCACCTGGATCGGAGTTAGCAGATATCCAGCTGAATTGTTCAGAGTATTGTGCCCAGCGGCTCAAGCGTTGCTTGAGAGCCATTGTGGTCCCTGATAGTATTGCTTACAAAAGCGTTCCTAGGGCCTGTCGAACGGATCAAATCGAACAGCCTGTGGACGTTTCCAGCACCTTCCGCATCTTCCATTTATTCTAACCTTTGGATCCACCAAGCCTCTCAGTTCCACGGACACTCAGTTTCATCTGCTGTCGAATGACGAGTCAGGTTGAGTTGTGGTTGCAGCCAGGAGGAGTCTATCGTTGGACCTCCAGCAAAGCCACGGTCGTATCAGAGATCCAATTTCTGGATGAAGTTGGCTGGATTGTGCCGCAAAAGGAAGTTCCGACTTAAAATAGCACTTTGGGTATCTGTTCCTAGTGACCGAAATCAGCCAATCCAACAGGCGTACGAAATCTGGTTGTGACAGGTTCGTTTGATTTTTAGGTTTATTAGCTTCTCAGTGACCCATTGCTAATGGGACGAGTTTATGAAATTTTCAATTAAGACTTCATCCTGTAAGTGAAGCTTATACAGAAAAGCCAAGAAGCGTTATGCAGTTTTTTCATCCTTATTAAGAATCAATACGACACTCTGACGAATCCTGGGGAGTTTCCTACCCATGATCTTCCGGTTGTAGATTGATTAACTCGCACTCAGAATATAGCGTCGCTAGTTCTTCGGTCACCGAATCCGCACCATATCATCACATATTCACCGGATTCTGGAGTAATTACTTCTTAAATGGAAGCTTCACTCTTGTGAACTTACTCTGTCCCTAGGTGTTGTCCCTTCAAGTATGGACAGAAGGGCAAGTCGCCGTTCGACGGAATGATCCAGATATGAGACTCCTCCTTCAAAAACCACAAATGTCAACTGCACGAACCATCAAAGTATACGTTTTTGGTGGCATTGAGGTTCTTGGTATCTGTTCTTATGAACAGATCAACTGCGGAGCACGAGCTAAAGATGCGTGAAGCCGAGTTAGTTTGAAGTATCGATGGGGTCGTCTCTGTGCAATCTACAGTATCGCTTCCTAACGCAGGCTGTAGTGATGCTTCCGGGCATTAGAATACTTTGATTCCGTTGTCGAAGGTATCTTACGAAGCTGCTTTTCAAATATCATTAACTGAAATTTCTGTCTCTCTCTTGTACTTCATTTGAATTCGGTTAATGGGAATTCAAGCCGTACGATAGATTTTCATCGTACCGTGTTGTGGCAAGACTGCTTCAGTTTGTCATTTCCTTCAAACCTGTCATCCAGACTTTCACCGGCTTTGTATCACGGTTGCCAAGTGTTCTCTCTTCTTGATCCTTTTAACATGTTCCAAAACCTCTATCCCGGTTTTCAACACTGACAATCTTTTGAACCTACCTCTGCCTCGCATACTGCATCCTGTTGCAATTACCAGGTATTTTTGTTCGCCTTATACGCATATACTTTTAAAGTCATTCATTTCAAATTTCACTCTCATGTGGTCAGATGGAACTTTGAGTGCATTGCTCCGGACCTCACATTCATCAGCCACAGTGCAACTGTGCTGGCCTTAATTGCAAAACAAGTCTTCGTAAATGTGTACCGTATCATTTTATCACTTTCCGCCCAGTCTGACAGCGTGTCTTTCATTCCTGTGTGTACCATGTCAGCTGACATGAAGCTGACGGTTCATCTGAAAAGTCAAGCGTTTTTCAATTTCAGGCGCAAGTTGAACAGAGCTATGGTGGTTTGGCTGCGGAGAATAGCATTGAAATACCTTTACGTGGAGGAGATGAAGTAATTGAGTTGGATACTGATCAACTGCCTGATGGAGAAGAAGTGCTTAATATTTTAAATCAAGAAAAGGCGCCCTTGCCCATTTGGATTAATGTAGCCGTTGCTTACTATAAGAAGAGGCTTTATGATGACTTTGAAAAAGTGCTCGAAGAGGCCTACCGCAATGCGGCCGATCTTCAACCCTACCAGGAAGGAGATTTGGTACGGCTGTTGGATATGTTGGCCAACTATTACGGACGTAAAGCGTACAAGTAAGTATACTGGAAGTGTTGTCTCCCAGGCCAGGTCTTGGAAGCAGTTCGTGGGTTAATGGTGGCTTTCTATTCTGTATAGATCGTCAAAGTTCACTTGTGTAGCTGGATGCACTTTGACAAAAACTTCTCACGAGATCACGGACCGTCATCGGAGGACAGATCAGAAGCAAGGTTGACTGGTTGGGTAGCAGCATCCTTGAACGATCACGCCTCAACAATAAGATACTCGATTTCGCCTGCATGTTTACGGGTTCAAACCCTCGGGGCTTTTGCGCATTACTGGATTCTGTTTATGAAGACCAAATGGCTTCACAGCACTCCTTATTGTTGCAGTATATATATATATATATATATGATTACAGAGCAGGTTTACTGACAGGAAGGTCTGTGATTCGAATCTAACCTCTGCATCTCGACTTCTATCTCGGCCTGGGCAACCTGACAGTATCCCAGCCATCGTGCTTCCTTCGGGTGGCATGGCAACTTGAGTGTTACAACTGAGAAATTATTATTATATGTGGTTTTTGATTTGATGCACCTAGCCCAATATTGTAAGCTCTAGTTAACTCAAAAACCACCTCGATATTCAGGAACACTCCGATGGAGCAGGATCCTCTGCACCTTCCATAGTTGTATGGGAAATGCTACCTGTGGCACAGCCTCAGTTTTAATCACAAACCGTCTAGAGCACAGATTTGTCATAGCAACTTCTTGATTGGATTTTGTGCCGTCTATTTGATTTCATGCGTGCGACGGACCAACTAGTGCCTACGTGTATTTGGATTTCATTCTCCTATAAGTGCCTTAGCCAACGTTTTTGCATTCACCTAGAACCGTTGCATTGAAAATATGTTATTACTTCTCGGTTCAAGTTGGCAACTGTCGATCAAATTTCTAGGGAAAAGACAAAAGAGAAGAAGAATCAGCTGATCGCACACGCCACCCGCCTATTCACTTCAGCCGACCGCATCGATATGTACGATCAGAAACATCTGCTTGGTCGAGCATTTTTCTTCATTTACGAGGGAGAGAATTGGAGTCAGGCAGACAGCCAGCTCAATTTTGTCCTTAATCAGGGAGCCCCAAGCGTGCCTGCCTATCTGGGAAAAGCGTGTATTGCTTTCAATAAAAAGGAATATCGAAACGCTCTTGGATTCTACCGAAAAGCCCTCAGGTTACAGCCTAACTGCCCTGCTTCCGTTCGGCTAGGTATGGGGCATTGCTTCTTCAAGCTGGGGAACATGGAGAAGGCTCGTCTAGCATTCCAGCGCGCGTTAGATCTGGACCCAGATTGTGTTGGAGCTCTCGTTGGATTGGCTATCTTGGACCTGAACGAAAAGACACAAGTAAGTTAATCACTCCTCTTTGCCTACTTTTCACTGGTTGCACTTGGCCGTCCGTTGTTCTTTGTTGTTGTGGGCCTCAGATAGATAAACTTTTCGTGTCCGAAAAACCTCTAAGCGAAGATACTTCGATTTTCTCGTTTGATTTTGTAATGTTTTATCCCTCGTATTTCGAGTTGCATGGCAGCCATGTATTGAGACGATGTCAGATGTGAACGACTTTCTCTCCTTCAGTTTTATCTGTGCTCACTGTTGAAACCGTATTAGTCAAATTGTTACACTCCTATTTTCTTTTACTCAGCGTTTTATGCTCACAATTTTGTTACTAGATAAGTAGAGCGCAACTCACTTCTCTCGAACCATGTCTTTGTTCTGCGCCCGTCTTTGCTGGACGTAGCGCTCAGAATCACTGCACAATGCTTTCCGATTTTCAGAGCTGGATATCGACTGGCTGGTTCTAAGACCGCATGGCCTACTCGGTTTTTTCTGACAATCTCACTTCTCTCGAACCATGTCTTTGTTCTGCGCCCGTCTTTGCTGGACGTAGCGCTCAGAATCACTGCACAATGCTTTCCGATTTTCAGAGCTGGATATCGACTGGCTGGTTCTAAGACCGCATGGCCTACTCGGTTTTTTCTGACAATTTTTTCTAATTGTGCGGGCCAAATGGCAATACCCACTCCTTCGATGTTTTCGATGCCAATAATTCTTTTTTCTTCTTGTGCTCATCAGGAATCTATCAAACAAGGGGTTCAGCGTCTGTCTCGCGCGTACAATCTCGACCCTACCAACCCCATGGTATTGAACCACCTAGCAGACCACTTCTTTTACAAAAAAGAATACGACAAAGTTCAGCGGTTGGCGCTACATGCCTTCTATAACACCGAGACGGAGGCTATGCGTGCAGAAAGTTGCTACCAGATGGCTCGCGCCTTTCATATGCAAGAGAATTACGACAATGCATTTCAGTACTACTACCTGGCTACACAGTTGGCTTCGTCAAACTTTATCCTACCTTTCTATGGTTTGGGACAAATGTACCTCCACCGAAACGATTTGGAACACGTGAGTCTTCAATTTGTTTTGTTCGTTTCTCACGATCCCCAAATGAAGGTGCACTTGTGCATTCAAGCTAATGCCACGTCCGTTCTTTGAAGACGATACCTTATCTCGCAACTGCTCCTAGCAGATTCGTACTCATGATTTGAAAGCGTACCTTCCGGTAAAGTCACCGGTTGATGAAGGCATACTTCACAGATATTATTTAACCTATCTTACGGGACAACCACTGGATTGAGTAATCACGCCCTCGAATTAGATTGGTACAGTAGGGAAGCAGGTTCATATAACGACTCTTGTCTGCATGGTGGTAACACGGTACTCCACGTACTAGGAAATACCTCATGGACACTAAAATGTCTTTGGGTGTGTGCCTTCTCGTGAAAGATCTAGCTAATACGGGTAGACTCCGACGTCCTATGTACCTGCCTCCCCAAAGTTTCAATTGTCTGCGGGTATTCCCAATAATCTGCCAGAATGTACTGAAATCGTGCAGTTCGACCGGAATGGATGCTTCGTTCATTATGCAGTCTTTGCATACATGCGGCAATACACTAGTGCATTACATTTATAAGCTCACCTAATGGGAGCAGTAAGCTTTTCCTGCAGACCTAATTGAGCAGGAATAAAAAAGACAATTGGGGGAGGTGAAGTTTAGTACTACGCTGCAACTGTAGGGAACTCGACTAATACATTTCGAGTTGTATGCTGTTTGGTAATGTTTCATACAATATTCTCTTCAATGCATATTGAAACTATGCAAGGGCAAATATGTGAACGTTCGGCTGTGATACATTTTTGATGTATGACTGTCGTGCTGCTCAAAAAGCTCGAAAAGCCGGGGTTGGAGTCGGATGCGGAACTTTCCGGTCAGCAATTTTTGCCCTGATCGTTAAGTTACTTTGAGACTGAGTAAAGTGTTCCAAACTGATATCAACTGTAATGTCAAATAGGTGCAGTCGTGTGTCAAGAAATGCATGTTGTTTTCGTTAGATAGTGTGCTAGCGGAGCCGTCACACCGTCCATTTTTGCGTGAAGCTCAATTGTTGAAAGGCATTGCGATTTTGGTGATTCTTTTCCGAACATAAGACAGCGATTTTGGAACTCCAACGTGTCTTCTGCTCGTTTATGTGGAGGTATTTGCCCGAGGATGACTACAGTTGGAAGATGTATTCTTGAAAGGACGAAGTACTGCATCCCTCCGTCGTTTTATTAATTCAGACAGTATACATGCGCACACGCACAACAAACCGACGTTCTTATCACGTGCAGTACACGGAGCATGTCAGAGGTCGATCTGAGGACTCGCCATATATTCTCTAACTGGTTGCAATACAGAGCCGATCGCTCATTTGTAGGCCGATAGGCTCTGCAGGTTGTTTGCTGGTTGCCTGGTGTAGACAGAGAAGGTATTAGACATCTCACTACCGGATAAAGTACAGAATTTACCCGTGGTTGTAGACTAATAATACTTAAGGGGAAAGACCTCTGTTAAAGAAAGCTCCAAGAAGGGGTCGTGGCCAGCTTTTTGACCAGGATGCCTGTAACATTTTGGAGCTCTGGAGTGGCTACCTGACCATATTGATTCTCACAGAGATAAATCACATATGTACCTGTTCATCAAATAGACATCCAGGGTGCCTATGTTGTGTTGTTACGCCTGTCAGCTAGCTTCGTAATTATAGAAGACCGTGTACGTTGTATCGCTCCAGTGCGAGGCGAACAATCGTACGCATAGAGTAGAAACGACTAATAATCTTAAGGGGAAAGACCTCTGTTAAAGAAAGCTCCAAGAAGGGGTCGTGGCCAGCTTTTTGACCAGGATGCCTGTAACATTTTGGAGCTCTGGAGTGGCTACCTGACCATATTGATTCTCACAGAGATAAATCACATATGTACCTGTTCATCAAATAGACATCCAGGGTGCCTATGTTGTGTTGTTACGCCTGTCAGCTAGCTTCGTAATTATAGAAGACCGTGTACGTTGTATCGCTCCAGTGCGAGGCGAACAATCGTACGCATAGAGTAGAAACGGACACAACTGTCCGCATATTGAATAAAATTCTAACCCATACTTTATGTTAGGAAGATTGCAATGCTTGTTTCTGAGCTCGTCTCCATAACCTAACTGAATTTCTCCAGGTTTGTTTGAGACAGCCGTTGTCCATGTGAATAGACCGGATTGACGCTTACCCCCTTTCGGCTTAGCTGCGATAACGATTCACCTGATCCGAATTAAATGTTAACTCCCGCTTTATCGTACGTGTTGCCGCTGGCCTCATACCCGAATTTTTGTACAGCGAATGAAATTTTGATCATCATGCTGATCATTGGATCGGAATTCCACAGCAGTCACTGTGACCGACGTCCGCATATTCACGTAGTGTAGAAATTTCGGCCTGAAAACCACCTACGCTAACCATAAACTTCAAGGCTCAGTGCCTGATGGTTTTCGTTTGCATACAGAAAACAAATGGACACACAATGCAAACGCTGTCAAGGTCACTTTTTCCTTGATTTTATTGAGTCTCTTCCAACTGAGAACGTTCAATTTTTAAAAACCTCTGCTCCCTGAACTTGTGATTCGTTGTACTCACAAAATGTCTTGTTTTATGTTGATGAGACGCAACCCATTACTGAGACCAGTGCAAACCAAATACAAAGTTAAGGAGGTTTCAGGGTGTGCGACGACGATCGACTAAACATTACTATTCTCATTCCAGTGAAGTTATGATCACAATAGGTAGGTTTATTAGTTTCCTCGACAGGTTTCAAGCCTTTTCTAAGTTGAATCACCACTTATTGGTTCATAAGTTAAGACCTGTCGGTGTGACTCTGTGCCCCGTGTGCTTCCCGTTCAAACCTCGAAATACTTGTTAGACGTGACTGTCCTCTCACCCAGTTTTAAACTGCGGGCCTCATTTTGTATTCACAGTACTTTTATCTGGTTGTTTATGTCCATCACCGACACCACTTCGCGTTGCCGAGAAGAGTTTATGATGACCCATGCTTTTCATTGCGCTCCATAGGGATTGGTCAACAAATTTTCAACCAATAAAATCCGGTTGCAATTTAAGCGCCTCATTTTAGTCACGTACATTCCACCCGTCCAGAAACAACACAAGAGATTTGTTTGTTATATTCGGGTTGAATCAAGTGAGCCTTCATGCTGCTTGTCTCGTAAACATGACGTATCACTGCACTGATGCCGATCGGCAATATACAGATTGTGACTCTGAACCATCAACGGTAGAATTTTTGGTAAATGTCGACTCAATTTAGGGTATCGGTTGGATCAGCGAGGTGGCTTCAGTGGTGTTTCGCACCTCGTCAGAACACCATCTGATCTTCTTGGTGTTCTCCAATGGTCATAAAATTAAATACCAGTCGCCTTGAGCGATGTGTTGAATGGGGAGTGGAAAAAAAATCAAGTAAATTGTTTGGCCAAAGTAGTGTTTCGCACGCAATATACATCGATGGATGGGTTTTCCTCTTAACTCTAGTTCTACCTTGACTAATCGTGAACGTTTTACTGAGGACAATTAACTAGCGCGCGGAAATTCGGAGGGAATGGGTTTGGATAGTGAAGGAGCCTCAAATACAAGCCAAAATGGTGGTCGGGGATTCTCCATTCCTCGATGAGAAACCATAGGAACTTAAGACCTAATACCCAAGGTTGTTGATAAAGGTATTCAAATTTTAACACGACGTTGCATCAGACATGGATAGATCAACTACTTTACTGGGCTCTTGAAAAAATCACATGTTCTGATTCTGTGTTTGTCATTGCTGATTACACTTGACTTTGAACATAACATCCCCCTATAGGGGATTCGATCCAACTGAAGCTGTGGCATACTGACTTACTTCGTTTTGGTCTTTCCGCAGTATGCTCACTTTTGTCCCTTTGATCATGAACGTACTCAAATTCCTAATGATTTTGTGGTTTGAGTGAGTTTCCTCCAGCTTAAGTATTCAGGTCCTGATGTCTTTTTGTGGAACCTACCCCACATTTCCCAGGCTGCCGTCTCCTTTGAGCGTGTACTGAAAGATCATCCGACGAATTACGAAACGTTGAAAATCCTTGGCAGTTTGTACTCTCAATCAAACAAACCAGACAAACGAGCCCAAGCCAAACAATTGTTCAAGCAGGTATGTTTTTTTAATTTTCTATCTGGGGTTAACATGCCAGCGTTGCGTACCGTGTTGCATCACTTATCCTGACTTTGAACCACATATCTCCCGAATCAGTTGTTTTCACTGGCCGGTACGCACAATGAACAGTTACGATCTGTAACCTTAGCAACGAGCTAAATAGGTTGTTTGTCTCACTGCATGTTGGACACAATATTCTCTTCCTCTTTAGGTTGGAAGCCTCGTCTCATTGAAGATTATGTTACACGGGTTTTCGGCTGAAACTTGGTGACACCCCTTAAAATCGAAGACCCCCATGTTGTACAATTTTGCCATAGACAGTCAAGAACTCGAAAGTTACTAATACTTATTTAACAGTAGGATAAAACGTAGCAACTGTTTATCATTCTGTTCTGATGTAAAGACCCTTGAATGCTGTCCTGCCACACACGTGTTACTACTATACCATATAAAAAAGGGCGTAGTGTCGACTTTCGAAAAAAAACGCCAGACGCCGAGCTCTGATCAGGTTGAAACACAACACTCAGCCGTCGTCTGCCCCAATTGGTATTACGCACAACTCTCCTTAATTTGCCCACATTGACATTTGACATTCACCAACCAGTGGGGAAGCTTAAGGCTAGTATAAGTCAGCAAAACGGCTTTTGTAATCACTTGATCCGATTTCCGCTACGTCCGCACTCTCTGTTATCATTATGTTGCCGGATTAGCTGACCGCCTTGTGTGAGTAGGGATGTATTAATCTACTGCGTCGCCTGGCAATGACTGCTTTAGAGAACCAGAGTCTTTTGCACAGCAGCACCAGACTTCTGTCTGACCATTCGGTTCCTTTGGTGACAATTTATTTCCGGTTGCAATATGGGATCTGAACCATCAATCTCGGTGGTACGTTGACAGTTAGAAGCACTCCATTTTGATGTATTAAGCGGAATCACCATATTCGCCTAGCAACGTTCCTCGTTAATCAGTGCAGCAGTTATTCGAAGTCTTAGTTCTATTCTTCATACGACTTAAAACTGTTGGCTCTTAGCGGTAGCACCGTTTTGGTTCGGAAACGATCCTAATTTGCAAGGGGTCTGGTCCTGTACAATTCTGACGAGGTGCAGTGATTAGCAATGTCTTTTTTTGAAATTCACCTGACTGACACTGAGCTTATCGTCTACCTTTGCCACCTTGTTTCCATGCTCTAAATAGGTAACAGAAAGCCAACCAGAAGATGTTGAGGCGTGGATAGAGTACGCGCAGTTGTTGGAAAACGACACAAACGGGGCACTAGATGCATATTTGAAAGCGTTAACAATATTGGAGAACATACAACTGGACGTGGCACCGGAGATTTTGAACAACATCGCTTGCTTATATCACATGAAAAACGATCATACACAAGCCATGGTAAGCGTTACTAGCCACTGATTCTTGATTCTTACCGAGTAGGCATCAGGTGGCTGTTCAGTCACCATGTTCCTGATATGACACTTTATGAGAAAACGTCACCTAGGATGGATCTCAAAGCTTGAAACGGTTGTAGCGGTTCCTAAAGTTTTCGCCCTCCATTTTCATCAGGAACTTCACTGTAAAAGACTCTTCGAAAAATAATTTTTCTGATTTAATTTTTTGCATCCTGAGTTCTCCACGTAGAAAACATCTTACTCGGACCGAAGCAAAAAGGCCGAATTCCTTGTACTCATTGTATGGAGCAAAATGAATCGATGAGTATTCACTCAAAAGCCGAGCAACCACCAATCGCCAACCCGTATTTTCGCTGCCCTATCGATGAAGCAATTGAATTGTTCATGCCTTTCCAACGAATCAAAATTATGCGCCATAGTATAACATTTCAGAGAGCAATTAAGGCTGCTATTTTCGGACGTGATGCCTGCAGCGAGTTACTCGATGGAGATAGTTTATGCAAGAAAACGCCTTCCACTCGGAACTAGAGGAGACGGTCCACTGGTAAAAAGAACATCAGATATTGGAAGAACTGCTTCAATAACAGGTTGGACACTTAAGTGACGAGCTGTTCCGCAGGCGTATATAGCTGTTCATAAAAATCCCGCTGCAGTGTGGGGAGCGGACGATTTCGTGTAAAGTGTTGAACAGAACAGCTACAATCATCAAACTTGCTTTCATGGCATTCATGAGGTTGGCCGGCCCATACACAATAGCTCTCTGAAGTAAGTCTGAAGTACTACCTGACACGTGCACATACCATGGACCATACAATACCCTTTTCTTGGCTGGACTAGCAGTCAGACTCCTTCTTTGGAGGAGCACAACAGCGTGACTAAAGATACTGACAAGCCATCTTTTGGTGATTGCTGTTGTCATATTCCAGCACACACCTATGTTGGTAAGAAGGTGGGCTTTTTGTAGTCTTGCATGAATTTTATTTTTTCTGAACCAAATGCCCCCGAGTAATGTTTTCATAAAGAAAAAGCACTGTAGCTAATTCAGTCTGACACTTACGTGTTGAAGAAATGTTCTCCGCTTTCAGAAACGAAATTCCATCTTTGTGTTTGTTTTATCCAGAACTTTTTTACTCGGGCTCTTGATCGGATCCAAGAAGAACAGCAGTCTGAAGAGAATGAGCGAGCCGACGGTGGTGCTGGACACGATGATGAATATTATCATGGCCTAAACATCACTGTCCGTTATAACCGAGCTCGATTGCATGAGGTGTGTGGTCGACCAGACTTGGCTGAGGAAATCTACAAGAGCATTTTGCTCCAACACCCGAGCTATATCGATTGTGAGTTTTTTTCATTTAATACCCCTTGTTTAGCGCTGTTTTTGTTCTCTCGTCCCATTTTTATGATAGAGACTTTACAAACAAGTTACTTCTGTGGATAACGGTTCACTGTCACGATCCAGGTTTTGTCAGTGAGGTCGTCAAAGTCAAGCGTTCATGTTTGGTTTGAGATGTTGAATGCCGATGGGCGCTCAGGTCATTTCAGTTCACTTTGACAACCGTGTACGGTTATTTGAGCATCCGAGCTTGTGGCGGATAGAGTATAGGAAAGCGTTTAAAAAAAGAACTGTTAGTTTTTCAAAAGCAACAAGCACTACTTTTTCTGGGAACCTACTCGTAGTCAAGGACTCAATAGTCTGACCTACTTGGCTGTGGGAGACTTGTCTAGCAGAAGGAGTATGGCATAATTATCTGACTCCTAATACCACTGAGCACAGCGTTCTGAGCAGCTCCGTACCCTGGTTTCAAAGTTTCTGATCGTGTTGAATGATGTACCGGCGGTCAACGTCGACGTTTGAGCGATTGGACTGTGCAGTCTTTAGGGTCAATTTTTTGTAATCTGTCCTTTCTCGGAGGAAGACCGAATCACTGCTGCCATAAATATGGACATGGGGGGCGAGATGGCCCAAGTGGTTAGAGCGCGAGTTTACTGACCGGAAGGTCCGTGGTTCGAATCCGAACTCCGCCACTCAACTTCCCCTGTCTAGGCTTGGGCAACCTGGCAGTATCCCAGCCCTCGTGCTTTCTTCGGGTGGCATGGCAGCTAGGCACCGGAAGGGTGCTACAGCTGAACGCTAAATATGGACATGATAGGTGCCTAAAGTGAACAGCTTACTGCCCTCATACTTACACGATAGAGGAGAATATGACCGTATCTCCAGATCGCTTCTATTGTGGGGACTTACCGTTGGCCTTTCTGGCCTGGTTGGAATTTGAGGGACGGAGTTCCCCTCATAGCTTACAAGGCCATTAAAGCTTTCAAGCCGACCACCACGTCAAGATATCAGTAATCGGTCGGGAGGCTGTGCGGGCAACCGCCAGTTTTAGACAGTGCTTTAGTAGCGGACCCTTCAGAATTCTATCAGGTTATCCTACGACGTGCGTCGGCCTAGTTTGTCAGTAATTTGACGTGAAAAATATGTCTGGGTTTACAAGGTCACGCCCATTTGGTGGCTGAAAAACAAGATTTTTCGCCCAATCGCACGGCGACCACATCCGAATCGTTTATCCTGCATAGATGAATTTCTTGTCTAGTAGTAAGGATAAATGATACCCAGAACAATGAACTGGTAATTGGCATGGTTATTTTGATCTGGTCTTCTTGGTCAAATAGCACCACAAACGTTTTACTCCACGAATGATACATTTTATTAGGAATGGTCTTTTGGTTATTGTTTATCTTTCAGGGTCCCCTGGACAAGCTTATTTACATCAAAGCATCATACAAGTGTTCGAAAAGGGGTACCTGACACTTTTGCAGGAAATATCGCTACTTTCTAGCTGTGACGTAGTTATTGGGTAGTTTTATAATATCTTGTGCCGTTTCGTTGTTAAAAATAGATCAATGGATAGTCATTCTCAACAGTCGGGCGGTTCCTGGGTCGTCGGATTAAACACACGATAACCATCATGTAAACACATTCAGCTGTGCTCGTATACTAGCCGTTAGACGCGTATGCCTCCCATGCCAGCTGACGAGAATCTTGATCTCTCTGTGGCGGCGTATATGCACCGCTGGTTAGTCTGTTTCCGGTTGGTCTGTTCAGAAGGGTTCTTCAGGATAGAGGACGCAGGTTGTGGTATGGATACAGTTTCAATCAATCCCGCTAGTAAGAGGTAATTGCGCAGCTCAGTGTGCCTAAAGATGTGGCTAAGCAGGATATCGGTCGTTCCTTGATCCAAACTCACTGAAGCCACCGGGAACCAACCCGTAGTCAAATCGAAACAATTAGTTGCATGAACGAGCTGAAACAAATGAAGCCGCAGCTTAGAGTTGCTTGTAGATCGGGAACAATAAGCGGAATGCGCACGCTGCATAAAACTTTCTGAACGTGTGATCGTATGTGCCTTTCATGGATCAACTTAAAGCGCGCCCCATTGATTTTGAATGCAAGTTCCTTGTATACCTTAAACCAGCAGTCTACATAAGTTGTACCAACACCTATCCTTAGTATTGCACTCGGATTTAAATGCTCATCTTTGAAGTGCACTTCGAATCCGGTTTACTTTCTAGGTTATCTTCGATTGGGCTGTATCGCCCGTGACCGTGGTATGATTTGGGACGCCTCCATATGGTTCAAAGACGCTTTGGATATTGATCCCGTAAGTTGTACTGAGGCACAATCTTGCCGTCCATGTCCTTGTTTATAATACCTGACGTTTCCTTTTTAACAATTCTAGGATCATCCGGACGTCTGGTCTCTAATCGGTCTTCTCCATCTGAGTAAAAACGAAGCGGAACAGGCTCAGAAGAAGTTCGATCGAATTATTCGACAACCGACCTATCGAGCTGATGCCTTCGCCCGTATCTCTCTGGGGAACATTTGGCTTACCACGCTTCACCATCCTATACGTGACAAGGACAAGCGTAAACGCCACCAGGTGAGCCTAACAGACTCACTAACATGTATCTCCATTCTCTCCTTGTCTCAGAATCACTCGTGTGGGTTTTACGGATAGACGGCCATTCCAGGTCGATTAGGGCTAACGTTTGGGCAACTGATACAGCTGCCTTGAAGGGATGTTGATAGTGAAAAGTGAAACTGCCCCAAAGCTATGGCGAACGACCGCTTGACTATTCAGCTCGCAATCGCAGAATCGGGAGGGTATGGCGATATCTGAGAGCCTCTCTTAAGCCTGTTGAATATATGCCACTAAATCCGATACTTCGAATCTTGTAAATACGGACGAAAAGTACAAAAAATTCACTTGTCAACAGTCTGTTGCGATGCTATCCATCGAGCCGCATTCGAGCTTTGTCCCAACTGCGGTTGGCATCTTTATGCAGATCCGGTTAGTCACATCGTCCAGCTGTAGCACCCTTTCGATGCCTAACTGCCATGCCACCAGAAGGAAGCAGGAGGTTGCCCAAGCCTAGACTGGGGAAGTCGGGAGGCAGAGGTCGGGTTTGAACCACGGACCTTCCGGTCAGTAAATTCGCCCGCTAGTCACTGAGTGATCCCGCCCGTTAGCCACATAACATGTGTCTGATGAAGGAACAAACACACGTTTGTTCCTGAGGACGGTTTGCAAGGGTTGAAATATCGACATCAGCCTTGCTTTCCTCTTGCTCCCGCAACACAATTGCCGGGCCGCTGGCGGATTGTAAACATGTGGGCCACTGGTGGGCTAGCTCCTTTGGACGTGACCTATTGTCCTCTAATTAAGCTACGGGACCGTCTCCTTCAGGAACAGGATTTCTGGTAGAACTTCAGTCTCCCTTGCCAGTAGTGTCTCGTACTGCAGTGAAGCATCGATGTTGAACACTGATGTCATGCTGTCGATGATGATGATGATGATGAGTGTCTCAGGGGATGCCCCATCAGATACGTGTCAATGAACGGACTGTGTTTCTTCACTGGGTAGTTGTCTGCTATATCTTCTAAGGGACGACAAAACTTCTACTCGAAAGGTTTTTCTTAATTCTGGACTTTTTAGTTCACCCACAAATGGACACTGAGAGGGTATGCTTCTTTTGCACTGTACAGAAATAGTCTCGCCACCTGTCGTGTAGCCTCTCTTAGGACTTCCTTTTCATTGCTTTGTCTTGACGGGGGTTGTTGTTCCACGAGAGCGATAAAGCTAAAACGGGTGTCAGATACTGTAGCCTGGTTGAAATTCCATTGTTTTACCTTCAAGGAGAGTTGTTGAGACTCTGATTTGAAGCCAACCGACTGGAAGCGTTCGGCTATTGTTATCAAATGAGTTTAGTTTTTGGGACCTTTCGGCACATGTACCTAAAAGGAAATAGAAAAACAGACCCTTCATGAAGCAGCTAGGTTTGGCAGCTGGGATGCTATGGGTGGATTCGAATTTCAGACTCCTCGGGTTGTTGCCTTAACCCTTGGGCTGTTTCTTTGAGAATTTCTTATAGGTTTCGATACTGGCGGATTACGATTTCCGCCACTTTTCAGATGTAGTCTAGTATGTGGCTTTCAGTTCATTTTCTCGCACCGGTGCATCGTTCTGACCGACCCGATGGGTTGCTTTGGTAGTTTGTATCCTTGAGTGCGTATGCCAGACTTCCAGTTGCCTTTCTCTTTGTAGGATCGAGCGCTGTCGTTCTACAAAGCTGTATTATGTGCTGATCCACGTAATATATGGGCCGCTCATGGAATCGGCTGTGTTCTTGCGCACAAGGGTTTCGTGAATGAAGCTCGTGATGTCTTTGCGCAGGTTCGCGAAGCTACCGCCGACTTTCCCGACGTTTGGATCAATATTGCTCATATCTATGTTGAGCAGAAGCAATACACAGCTGCTATTCAAATGGTATGTATGATTTCGCATACAATACATGCAGGCTTCCATTTTTGCGCCAGTTTTGCGGCATCTAAGTTTACTCTCTCTCTGTTGTACAGTAGCTGCTTTTGAAAAGGTCGTAAACAAAGGTTACCAGAGGTAGTCATTTCAGAGCTTTAGGTTGTTTACTCTTCCTCAGTAGTATGCGTGTTCCACGCACTCCACATGAAAACTAGGTTGTATTCTTCCGTTACTTATGCAGTTCGCATGTATATTCTCTTGCAGTTTATCCGTCATTTTTCAGCTTCTTATGGTTCTAGTTTACGGCTGTTAGTCCGACCACACACCGGTGCAGTAAGACGCTGCGAACCGATTTCCAGTAAGCCTGGTGTCACTTTCTATCCAGATTGTCTGATTGAAAGTTGGAGGTGTGTGTACATCAACTGTTTGCGGTAGCCCATCATTAGACCTTCCTCTTTCTCATTTTGTTCTTTTTATTATTGTACTTTGTTTTATGAATTCCCATGCTCGTGACGTGTGACTGATGCTACTAGTGACGAGGATCATGATGCGCTTCATAACTATTTTGGAGCGAGACCCTTCTGTGTTGGTCATCTGGCCAGTATACAGTCTCTGGTCTTTCATAGAGGAAAATGTCGATAGCTCAGGTAGCGTAAATGGTCGTTGGCTTGTTCGCTGAGCACAACCACTAACCTACCGCTACGCACAATTACGCTTCCCAATAACGCACTGATGATGTCACCTCGATTGGTGGTGAGACGTTTGCAATCAAATTGCCCAAGCAAAGAAAAAAGCCAGTCTCTGGTCTGTTCACGTCTAAAAATGACACCACAGAGGCACGATGGTCTGTTTTCGACTGTGTCAAGTTTACGTGATCGTGAAGACCAGAAGCCATCCTTCTGAAAGTAGTTTGCTATGATCAGTGTTACGTACCGCATCGCTTGTCATTTCCCCTTTTCAGTACGAAAACTGTCTGAAGAAGTTTTCCATGCAGAACAACACCGAACTTCTGCAGTATCTTGCCCGCGCGTATTTCAAAGCTGGGCAACTGAAGGAGTGCAAAACAATGCTGTTAAAGGTAAGCACTTTACTGAATGCGTGAGTACTCACTGCTCGCTTCCGAAAATTTTGTGACCAGTCATCAAGACCCTATAGTTAATAATTTATCACATTCCCATGAGGAGAGCTTCCTGTCGAGAAGTCGATATTCTTTCGACCGCAACCCCTTTCTCGAGGAGACTAATTCTCTTGAACCGAAGAGGAAATATTCTGATTTCCAAATTGACTGGTCTGCTCTGTCAAAGTAAATATCGCAATGGAAACCCCCTATCGATACACATTGATTCGTCACGTTAAAAGGCTTGTATCTTAGACTGCTAATACCCTGTGCCACAAGACTTGACTGCTTGGTATACACTGTATATACTATTTACATACACACTACACTGCATTGCACTGCACTATAAGTGAGTCTAGATTATATTTATAGCACCATAGTGTGAGTCCTAGCGCATTTGCTGAGAGATAAGGTAAACCAATGGGTAGGTATTTGTCGAGTTGCCCGTTTCTGGTAGGTCGCTGTTCTGCACGTTACATCCTCAAAGCAAACCGGTGTAAGTTCAGGATTAGCGCAGAGTCCGATCATGCAGGGCTAAGCGAGAGTGATCCCACCCGGAAACGACAGAGGCTGTGATAACGGTCGTAAACGGTCAAGAATGAAGCAACATTGAATGGTGGATCTTACAAGACCATTTGGCATAGCGTGTCCATGTGACCAAACAATCGTTGTGTATGTTGTACCTTCTAGTGCAGGCCTGACTGTAACAACACTCCAGATCCATTGTCTATCTGACTCACTGTGAACTGCCTGCATGTTCCACAACCAACCTGCTAATCTAACAGTTTCCCTAGGTGGGTTTGCGCATATCTTCGTAGAAAATTACCCTATTTTCATCTAATCGACTCTTATCCGAGTTTAGCTGCGTGGCACTGTATTACTGGTTGGTATTAATTTGGATTGTACGGAAGCTGACGTCCATTGTACATTATGAGAACGAAGAAGGTAGCGAACAAAGCTTGTTTTCTGTGATTGTTCATCTTGGCTAATACATCACTACTATCAGATTCTGCTTGAAAGACAAATTGCCACGTTCTACCACCAGCTTTTGTGTGTACTCTTTCGTATGCTCTTGCCGAGCATCATACGTTGGTCGTGCGACAAGACATTTGTCGGACAGAATACGCGAACACAATCCCGCATCTCTGAGTGGTAGTGGGAAGAAACCAGGCTCAAGCGCGATTGCAGCACACTTGGCCGAAACCTGTCATATCATAGACAAGGAGCAAGCCTTCACCATCATATACCGGGTACCTCTGAACGGATCACGACTGGTACGATCCAAAAGAAACTTGTGAGACCTCTGAACCTGAACTGGCCTACGAAACATCTGGTCCCACAAGTCTGTCTGACATTGACGTCACTTACTTGACTCCGTGAACCATTGATCTACCCCTTACCCAACCCCCTTCCTTTGACTTCTATTTCTCTAGTGTATGTAGCCCCGATCTTAACCTTTTCCACGTGATTTCTGCTACCATATAAATTTGTGATGTATTAGCCAAGATGAACAATCACAGAAAACAAGCTTTGTTCGCTACCTTCTTCGTTCTCATGACTACAACGGGTACATTGTACATTAGTATATTTCGGCTACGGGTATGCAAAGGAACTGAACATCAAATGATTTCTCCGTACACAAGGTGAAGTATTCGATGGCACACCGAAGAATCTATCTGAAGTACCTGAATATCAGTCAGTCAGTCACCCAATCACGCCTTCGAGTCTATTCGGGCAAATTCCGTTAACAACGTCGTCACTAACTTAGTCACCTTGATTCACCACCATGATTAATTGGGACCTCTACATTGTCCACACTTGGCTCTTGGCTCAATTATGGGCTCGAGGTAGCTAGTTTCAGGCCGTTATTTTCTTCTTGGTTATCATGACTTTTCGCAACTTATTTTTGAAGGCTATGCATGTGAAACCATGGGATCAACTGCTCACCTTCAATTTGGCTTTGGTGCGCAAGCGCTTAGCCGTGACAGTCCTGCAGGATGAAACTAGCAGCTTCCTGTCGGTGTGTGATGCGATTGCCGATTTGAACATGGCCAGATGGTAAGCTTCCATGCGACCCGCGTTGGTCCTTCTTCCCTTCTATTTGCCATACTTAGAATGCGAGTTATTAAAGCCCAGTTGTAGCGAGTAACACATCGGGTTTCTGTAGTTTCCAGAATTCATCCAAATGAGCTGGTGAACAAGGTGTTTTATACCTTACGCTGTGACGCAGTCTTTCATTTAAGTGTCACCGTCATCATCCTCATCGAGACAGTAACATCAGTGCCGACACTGATGCTTCACTGCTGCACGATCATAAAGTCCATATACTTATACTTAAAGCCTTAGATTGAAGGAGAGGGAGGGGTCTCAGTGCTGGCCTCTACCGAGCATTCTCAGATGCCTGCATCTCCAAGTGCTCAATCAGTACGATCACCACTGATATCAGTCAGCCGCCATTTCTTACGATGTCTCCTCCCAAGCGCTGGAGGGGTCACGGGGACCCCATCCTGGAAGGCATACATCGTCAACTACACCCAAACTCTTCGCAATGTCTTTCACACCCTTCTACCAAGTTATATGCTGTCCACCACGTGGTTTGCGCCATTCTGAAGAAGGTACGAAGAACAACACTCCTCTCGTTAGACGGTATTTCGGTACACGTAGAACTTGGCCGAGCCACTGCGATTGAAGTACCTGCTGTACACCCAGGTACCCGTTTTGTGATCACCCCTTTGACATCATCCGACACCTGGAACGCTTCTGAGACAGGTTCAAAAATCGGAGAATGCCACACATCTATTCATAGAGGCCACGTCTCGCAGCTATACCACAACAGTCCTTACTGTAGCGTGTTGCACACGATCCTTGAGACCCAGTGATATGCGTTTTTGACGCCACAAGTGACGCAAAGTAGCGAACGTGGTGGTTCGAGGCTTTGAGATTCTTGTACTGGCTTCATCAGACATCCGCCAGAGCCAATACAACTACCGAGGTATGTAAAATTCTCGACAACCCCCAGTGATTCTTCTTGAATTGTAATGGATATGTTCAGAGACTTTACGTTCTAAAGCATCACTTTGGACTTTGACGATGCTATCACACATCCCGAAAGATGGTGTGCCGGTCGTCAGTCTATTCAACACAACTTGTGCTTTGCCGTGGTCTTCAAAGATGAGCGTACTCCATATCAACAAGGTTCTCACCAGCACCTATTTGAACAGCGGTTTGTTAAGGAGCTTCCAGTGTTCGCCTCATTACTTCATCGACGGCGAATTCGAACAAGAATGGAAAAGAGTGGACTTCTTGTCGGGCAGCAATTTTTGTAGGAAAGCTTTCAAGGAGCGCACCATACGCATTCACACGCCCACAATTATGTGAAAATAGCAACCCAATGATATTCACAAACTTCTGGTGCATCCCCTGTTGAGTGACTGCTGTTAACAGCACTGACCGACCGAGGGAATCAAACGAACACCAAGGTTGTGAGTCGTCTGTACATATGACTTTGCTCTAACACCTAACGGAGTGTGAAGATGTTTTCGACACAGTCTCTACCAGGTCGCGATCCCGCTTGGTTCTCACGGATCAACGGTTCGCGTGCCACCAAATCAGTGACGCCAGAAGCCTCGTCACAACAGGAGTCGAACACCTCTGTGGTTACCACAATCACTTCGAGTACCATTTGTGAAAAGGGGCACTATTATCTACTCACGCCAATAGTATGGGATCGTCTCTTACTCCGAGATGGACACAAATACGCATTGACTGAGGAATACATAGTCATCCTTAACGGAACAGATGGGAGATCGTCAGAACCAGGAGAACCATTGTACTTGAGAAGGGATATAAACTCAGACACTTCTGAAGCTGAAGGCTCCATATGCACAGTTCACCTTTATATTGGACGCCAGGATTCCGGATTAGAGGTAGCAGGTGACGAATCAAATTGTTCGAAGTGCTGTGTCTGACGGTCCAACCGTTCTCCTTTCCTGGATATCAGAGAGCTGTTTTGGTCCCTGATAGTTTCGCTAAGATGAGATTTCTGAGAGCCGAATGAACAAATCAAATGGAACAACGTGAGAATATTTCTAGCACCTTCCGCCCCTTCCATTTCTTCGGCTTTTCGGGTCCACCAAGCTTCGCGGTCTGCTCGGACAGTCGGTCTCAACTGGCGCGACACGAAGCGTCTAGTTGGATCGTGAGTGCGCCGGGTCTCCAGCAAAGCCGTGTTCCTAACAGAGATCCAATGTTTGGACGAGGCTGGCTGGCAAAGAGAAACTTCAGATTTCAATAGCGCTTTAGATATTTGTTTACAGCGGTCGTTAGTATCCAACATTGGGCGATTCAGCAGGCGTTTGAGGGACCAGTTCTAACTTGTTTGTTTTATTTTCGAGTCCACTAGCTTCTCAGTAGCTAAGCGATTTTTACTTGTTTGCACAATGTAATGCAGCAGCGTGCAAGTTCCACAAGAAGCGACAAGCAGTAATCGATCCTAACCACCGATAACTGACGGCGATGTGGTCTATTTGGATTCGGGACTGGTTCGTTGATGGGCGCCACGTGTCCAAGCGATTCCCGTAGTTCCATAAATTCCCACTGCAAACGAATGGTCTCTGATCGACAAGCGATCTCCGTTGTCCGTGTGTCTCGTGTCCCGTCCAGGACGGCAACCCAATCGGGCGTAGGCAGCGCCTAGTCTGCCTACCTGGGCGTTCACCTCTACTGCAATCACAGTGATATCTGGGTTTATAGTTCGTTGTAAAAGAGCACCTATAGCGTCATAGAAACTGTCTTTGGCAGATTCAGAGCTACACTCAGTTGAGGAGTAGGCAGACACAATTAACTGATTGCGATGGATCTCACATTCTCAAGTTTCACACACGACGTTACCAAACATACAGAACAGGTCATGAATCGCACCTTCCAATGAAACTGTCTTGGCAGATTCAGAGCTACACTCAGTTGAGGAGTAGGCAGACACAATTAACTGATTGCGATGGATCTCACATTCTCAAGTTTCACACACGACGTTACCAAACATACAGAACAGGTCATGAATCGCACCTTCCAATCATAGGCATGGACTGAGAGCTTCTTTTGTTGGTGTAATCCAGGGGGAGGTATTTACCAAATGCCTCTCACCCACTAATCTACTGTTTTCTGAAGCTTCTTTCCGCAGGCTGGAACGCTCTTGTTCATGTTGGTGACGCCATCCTTCGTTTTAGTTGGGTACTTTCAATGGTCTATCGTGTTTAAAAATAGTGTGCAAGTACGAAAACTAGATACGGGTATGTTGAATATACCACCTTCTTCAGGATGACGAACCTGTTCCATTTACCATGTGATACTATGGACTATGTGATACACCGTCAAGGAGGAAGGACCGACCGGAATGTCAGTATTATGCGACATTTGTCAACTTTCGAGTCGATTGTTGTATTTCCGGGAATGAATTTTCTGCCCTAGTAGATACTTCGTGTATTTAAGGTTGTTTGCATCATGTCTACCTCAAAATCTTCAACAAACCGGTACGAGATTCAGTTTTTCACATTAGCTTCCAATCGACTACAACGCGGAAGTTTTGAAATTTTTCTTTTGGTCGTAGCACCAGTTACTTTCTAATAACTACTTACTTAGTCGTCTATCCGTGGGGCTGTTCGCTTGTTCATCCTTCGGTTTCTCCATCGTCAATTACGAGGAAATGTTGAGCCGATTCGCTGACATAGCCAGTCCAGCATTTTGTTCAACTATCATTCAAGATCTGGGAGTCGGTTGATCAGCTCTTTCCTCGCAAAGTCATAAAACTTACGTCACGTGTTACCCACGTTTAATATGATGTCGCTTCAAAAGCGCACTTTAAATCTGTCGATGGAAGTAATTTGAAGTTCGTCTTAAAGTACGTTTATCTGTGTTATGCCTGACAACTGATGTGCATGGGACCAACGGTCAGCTTAACCAGTGCTCAATCGGACTACCTGCTATTTTGTACGTTTCTCTACAGCACATTTGATCACTTGTCGAAATCCAACGAGGTCCTCAACCAAGCACTGGCTGCCGATGAAGCCCGCACCTGCCAAGATTTGTTAAGCCAGGCCAAGTATCATCTGGATCGCGCAAAGTCTCGAGAAGAACAAGAACGTGTTGTTAGAAAAAGACAGGTCCGTTTGGCGCGTTTTATGCTTGTTTGCTTGCTCAGATTGAGGCCGCTGGTGGCTTTTTAAACGTTTTGCTGTTATTTGTCAAGGCAAGGGTTTCTATATCAGACATTTGCCTAGAACCTAGATAAAGTTTCATGTTCGCCTTGGAGGGTCCGGAAACGATCCTTTTGTAATCAGATTTTCTTGTGATCTTTCAAGCTCTGGGTTTTGTAATGTTCGGATTTTCCATCGGAGTAAACGGTAATCTAGGAAAACAAAACAAACAAACTCAACCAACGGCTAGGACTAACTGCAATGCAATTATTGCTATATCAACAAAAATAACTGCAGCGTGATTGAAACCACTTCTGGCAATAATCGATTTCCTGTGGTCTTATCAAGATAAAGCCATCTGCAAATGTCTTTCTCTGTTGGGGGGACCCCTTCTCAGAAGAAAACTTGCTTCCTTCCATCAATTCAGGCAATATATCCAGAGATAGATTCTCTGTTTAATATCACACTCACATGTGCTTTACTCATCGATCAATCTGTATTAAGCCCCAGTAGGCTTTTCTGTCTGAAATATTTCGGGTAACCGAATTGTCGTTTTCTTTCGCCCACTGGATTCACTTTCCCCGCGCTTTTTTTACTTTTGATATTTATTCAGGAGGACGAACGCGAGGCTCAGAGGAAACGTCAAATTGAACTTCAGAAACAAGCAGAACAGATGCGTCTTGAACGAGAACGAAGGTTAGAGGAGGAACGAGGTCGGTTCCTGGAAAAGGCCAAACAAATAGTCTTGGAGCCTGTAATTGAGGTGCGTCTTGTATGTGCAGCCGCGGATGATATCTAATGCCGTTTTCCCTCCCGGGTGATACAATTCCACTGTTATATTACTGTTATTTCTAATCTGATGGGTGTATACTTCGTCTAAAGAATAGGGATAAAGTGCAATCTCTTATGGATTTTGCAGATATATTCTAAATCCAGTGCATTTCTTAAAGCTGGTTACTTACTACTTACTGGTTACTTACTACTGGTTATTCACCCAGTGTAGCGGTGCTAGAACTTTCCTTTTTCTTTTCGCGTTGAATGAGACAAACTCACACTGTTCTACTTCAAACGGCTTCAAACCAGCTTTTAATTTGCCAACATGACGGGTGTGAGTAGTGCACACGTCCTACGCTCGACCCGCACCGATGGATAAGTCAAACCTTTTTCGACGAAGTCCACTAAAATGCTTCTTCATGCTGGCTTCGCAGTCCTGTCTCAGTGAAATGCTCTCAACGCTACCAAAAACATTAGCGTAGGCAATAAACAACGGGAGTAAAGCCTTAGCTTTTGTGCCAAGTGCTGAAGTGGTCAAGTGAACCAGGTATGCAGCAGAGTCTTCGTTCGAGACTGACTCCATGCAAACTGGTGCGCATCCTGACATAGTGCCTTGCATTCGACCCACAAGCATTCAGCAGAACAGATGTATAAACGATTGGTTGACGTTTTATTGTTCCCTCCTTCTGCGCTCATTTTGTCTTAGCCACTCGCCAACAGTAGGGAATTTTTCCAACGAAGGGATAACTGGTAAAGAAAAGAGGCATTGGTTCACTGCGTACTCTCACACCATATAGCATGCTTTGAATAGCAAAGGCGATAGGCGATCGGGACCACAAGCCTTGCTTGACTTCACTTTGATCGTGTTCCCCATACTTCTGGTGCTACGCTACCCTAAACAGCACACATTAGTGATTAGGGTTGACAGACTTAAAATTCTTGGTTGAAGTTGCTGAGGTCAAGGCCATTAGAACACACCTTCGATCGTTCATCACACCGCTGCCTCAGAGCCAGTCACAGTTCACAACAGCTCGTATTACTGACAATTGCATTGACGTGTCTGATCGAGGCAGTCGAATTTCAGCTATCCGGCCTTTGCACGACCTGTTTTGTGGCTGTTCAAGCACAACAGGGAGAACCTGTCGCAGCTGATGTTGATGGTTTCAACAATGTAACCTAGATCAAATTAAGATTGGAGGTAGTCAATTAGGGTCATGATAAAAAATGGGATAACCGATAGTAGAAAATATATTCCTCAAAAGCACAATATTGTCTCGTGAACAGCACTATCTTTCAATTGGTTTGGGTGCCTTATAGTTCTCTTTAGAGTATATTTTCGGAGACGTACTCAAAATAGAGTAATCAGAGGAGACTAATGAAGCGTGCCCACGAGCAGTGATGATGTTGATACTACCTACAAGCACAGTCCATCTGATTCTTGTTGGGCGGAATTCCTTACTGATACCGCTTTACCGGTCGTAGTTGAGTGCTGCTGCGGCCAAGAAGCCCACTGCGCACGCGATTGGCAATATCGGGCCACTTTTTGGTTCAGTATTAAGGCGAGCTCTGATTTGCCGAAAGTCTGGACTCGTGATCTAGTTTTCACCGATTGCTTGTTGCCAATAGCGCATCTAGAAGGTGTCGGAACTTCCAGAATGTTGTCGCGGCATGCACTCTATATGTGACGCGCTGTACAAGTTTTATGGACTTGGTTTCGGGTGTTAATAAACGCTGTGCACTCTTGATGGCTGTTTTGACTGGAACGCTAGCTTAGAAGGTTCAGACCGAGGACCAAGCTGAGAAAATATCGTTAGTACAGTCGTCTGGGGGGAATGTACTGAGTAAGCCCAAGGGAAACGGATGTTAACAATAAAGGCTGTTTAAGTCACCGGTAAATACACAACAATCCCTATCCAAGTAGGTTCTAGTGGCGGCAAGATGGTTTCGGCGAATCCGATATTTCGGAAACTGGAGTGCCAGGTTCACTGTATAAGTTTTCTAAGACAGTCTATCGGAACAGATGATATGCCTCGTAGACTATTTGTATTGGACGCCAGTGTGTTCCCGTTTGTCACGAAAGCTGACGGGACGGCCAGCGCGAAACAAATCATAACTCTCGGGGTGGGTGGTATAAAGCTGAGTATGACCAGCTTTCTTGGAACATTGCAACTTAATTGCTACTCTCTTGTTTCCAGAACAAAAGCACGAATCCGCGGAGAGAAGAGAATTTACTGGAGATCTCTACGGATTTGCATTCACTTTCGACGTCTGCGCCCAAGTGCAGCGATCCACTCAGTGTGGTGCTTCTTATTACATCCGACATGTCCTAGAAGCACAAGTTTCTAACTATCCCCAACACTGCCCAAATGCGCGGGAAAACACAATGATCGTCTCGGTTGGGTAATATAACTTTGGAGTCGGTGCCATAAGGCGTGGTTCAGTAAGAAAATGACCCGTTGTATATTTGTAGAAAAAATTCGAAGTTTTTAAAAAACAAGGTTAATTTGCTGGCCCCGTCGCTTTGTGTGTCCAAATGTAGCCATGTTTTGCGACACCTGTATAGCGTCGTCTTGTCAAAACAATCAGTTATGCATTTGAACAGATTCTAGAGACACAATTTGCTTAGTAGAAAGTCGGTTCTCATTTTTTTACTCATCTAATTTATTTGCATTTTTTGTGCAAAAACGTTTTCAGTTTTATTCAGGTCTAATTTTGCTTAATTCAAGGATGCTGATCATTGCTAGAGGAGTGTTCAGTCTCTCTTCATTATCGTGGGGGAGATTTCACTGGTCTTTGCTTACTAACCATCGGTTTCGATTTTACTCTGTAGGACCGAAAAGGAAGAAAAAGCGCCGGTGGAAGTCGAAAACGCGATGATTTTATTGCTTCTGATGACGACGATAGTTCGGGTAGTCCGGTGGAACGAGGTGACCAGCTCGAAGGAGAGGCCGGTTCGCAGCTGAAATCGAAGCAGAAAAAGCATGGCAGCAAGCGACGTAGTATGGATTCCCGTTTGGCGAGCGGTGCTCGCAAAAAGCAACGACTGGGTGGTTCCAGGGATGACGGACTTACTGCTAAACAGCGCATGCGGGTCGTTAGCAAGGCCATAATTTCGGAATCTAGTGATAGTAGCAGTGATGATGACCTCAATCAGGAGGATGAAGACGCACGGGTCGCTGCCCTGGCAAAGAAGATACTATCCTCTGACGAAGATGACCCCGATCAACCGGTGGAACACCTTATGCGCCACAGACAAGCCAGTCCTTCTTCGTCTGACTTGTCTGACAATCACAAACATTCGAGAAAAGCTCATAAACGCTCAAGGAATGAAAGAGTACGAAGTGGTAGGTCTCGAGGTCAAAAACGGCACAACGTTTCGTCTGAAGAGGAAGAGGAGGAGGATCAGCTGAGGCGAACTCAGGCTGAGGACAGCAGCGATGATGAGGCTTTTCATATTCGCAAACCTCCATCGAAGTCACACCACAAGCACGGGAAACGTGATCGAAACCCGAGCAAATCCCCCGCATCGAGCCCAGAAGTTAAAGAGAAAGAAGTGGAGGATTATGAGGAGGATTCCGATGAGGGACTCGTTGGGTTGCAGAAACGAAAGCGTTTGGTTGCCAGCAGCGACAGTGACGAGGCAGATATTTCAAATACAAAACCTAGGCGAGCCAACTTGCAATCAGATGACGATGACAATTCCAATGAAGCTCCTGCGGATGACCTATCATCCGCCCTATCAGAAGATGAGGAGAGCTCTTGACTCCTACGAGGATGTTATTGTATATTCTGCATTCTTGTTTACCCACACCATGAACACTTTTCCTGTATAATGTCATCACAACACGATTATGAAAGCCTCTTGGTCTTATTGTCTTCCTGAGTGTGCGAAGACCTCATTCGGTTAAATGTGATGGGCCACAACGGAGGCCGCTGAATGATTGCATCATCTGACTGAATGTACTATAAAAGCATTCTAGGTTGGCGTTTACTTAAAATATTTAGTATTTCTAGTCCTCATTACCTTTGTTACTGATTTAACCACAAGGTGTTCAGGCGTTCAGTTTTACGTGATCAGGTTATCCACTGTCCGAAGGCTGTGCGTGCCAACCAGAACGTTCTTTGGCCTTTAGTTACCACGATGTCGTTGCTACAGTCGAATAACCTTATTGGGACGAATTGTTTTATCCTGTTAGATTAGGTGGAAATGGGAACATTTCATCTCTGTGTATTTAAATTCACATTGAACACTCGATTGTTTGGACCCAAGAGTGAATGTAATAGTTGAACGGGGGTACTGAGACGAGCTTAGAATTTCTAACTCAGCAAATGTAGGCCTATGGCGAGAGGATAGTGCACTTTCTGACTGTTTCGTAACGTAGATAATGTCGAGTTAAGAAAACGTGGTTTCCTCTAGCCGTGGTATAGTGACAGTAAGCATTCTAACGAAAACAGAATTGACAAGGCCTCATGTTGACCTGTTTATCGGAAAAAAATGTGTGAATATCCTATCAAACACTTTTTCTGGATTAATCATTTCCGGTAAGTTTTTTCCGGGCGCACTCTAGAGATAATCGGGTAACTTGTTGGGTGGGGCTCTTGCAAGCGTTTACACTTCGTGATTTTGATGTACACTTGTTCTACTGTGCAACAATAAGCCTGAATAGAAACACCCGTCGAAACGGTTCATCGTTTGTTTACACAACCGTTGTTACACGAAACGGTTAAGTTCTTTGGCTGTGGTGGCAGGCTGCCGCCCATTGTTGACAGCACTTATCACTCGCAAATTGCCATTCTCAGACACATTTGATTCGAGAGTTACATTGCTTATTCGATGGGAGTAGCACTGAGTTCGACATCTAAGGACGGTTTAACAAAATGTTACCACCATGCACTGATCAGATCTTCACCTTTGTGTTCCCACAATTGCCGGGGTCCATTGGCTTAGGGTTGGAATCCCTGAGTAGGTAAAACTCATCATCGCCAAAACATTTGCGCTAGTTTTCCTTGTCCTTATCATGCACGCTGTGGATGAACCTCTAGCAAAGCAGTATGAGAATTTCAAGATGGGGGATGAGGCAGAATTAATCCGCGTGAACAAGCCAGCTCCCTGACAATTGTTGATCTGGAACGTGGGTACAGATAACACAGCCAACAAAGCGGACACACCTTCTGCCACTGTCTCCTTTTGTTTTGCGACGATTGTACCTAGATTGGTGTCTAAACGTAAGATGATTGCAATACTAAAAATAATCTTCATACACTATATGCGATTGTTCTAAAACGTGATACTTTCCTTAAGGTGACAGTCACGAACGATGATATAATAACTTATTATTGGTTGTTGATCTGTTCGCCAAGCTTGGCAATTGCCTTGCAAACGTTTCGTCACCATACGAGGAGACATCATCAGTGCGCAGTGCACCCAACTCGTATGGTGACGAAACGTTTGCAAGCTAATTGCCAAGCTCGGCGAACAGATCAACAGCCATGTGATCAACAACCAATAAACTCACCCGAGCTACCAATATTTCACATTACCAATAATAACTAATTGTCTTCCATAGATTGTGAGGTTCCGTGTGGAGGTGGTTTCTCCCGCAGACTAGAAACCGGGACTGTTTGTATCGAAAGAATCCAGGAGGTAGATTGTTTTAAGAAAGGAGAATTTGAAGAAAATTACATCTCAGAAATTGCAGTTTCTCAATCAATAGCCTATGCCATATGTTTTCTACTTGCTTAATTCCTTCTCTTGCGCACGTAGAATTCCTAAGGAGAATCCAACGTGCATATCAATTAGTGCGAACAATTTCTAGTGTAGGGGCACCCTATCTCCCGTTTATGTAAATAATCCTATAGATGAGCAGTTTCAGTCTGTAATATCTGGAAGTTGAGTATATCCACAAAGAACATATATTTAGGCTCCCCATTTTTGACCATCAATGCCCCCCCCAACCAGCTTTAGTCAGGCTAATTGATTGGATCGACAATGAAATGGCACGTAAACGTACATTTGATAGCCCGCCAAATGCATGGCTAATAACTAATCTACTGGAAATGGGCGGTCTTTGCTGGTTAGGTGGGTTTTTTTTCGGAGTAAGCGACTGCCACAGCAGACGTTTACGAAACCCCGAACTGAAGATTGCGGAGTGACAGCCAACTGAGGACATTGTGTCAGGACATGAAAGCCTTGATCACACTACTTAGCAAAATCGGTAGATATCGTCCTCTAGTGTTAGGGACCAATCGATAACCCTCAATGATAACCGATAATACTTTGGGTGTTGCAGGAAGCGTGATAAGGTTCTTGATAGTCAGCCATTTCACAAAGAAACGCCCGTATTGGAGAGGACATATTTAGAGTTGATGTTTTCTCACGTGCTATATGTGATATACCACTCTTCATTTTTTTAGTTTGCCTTCCCGGATGCTTCGCACTACCTCTGTGGCTTTGCGGTTGCTTCAGCGGAATTTTTCTTCCCAGGGGCCTAGGGAGTCACGTATTTGTAAACAGTTGACCGAACAGTTCAAGGTAACTCACGATTTTTTTCCACCTGAATTTCCAAGCCCGTTCGCCTGAAAGTGCTCAATGAAAGTCGGAAACACTATCGGGATGCAGGTACTGTGCGTTGTCACACTCCTTATTCTTCCAACAAGGTGTCGAGACACATTTCAAAATCACCATAGTGTCATCCTCTTTTGAAAATTGTTCTGAAGTTCAGGTGGTCCTTTGTTTCTTGGATCTAATTTATTATAGCGCCAACGCCTCATAACCAATGCACTGTCAGAAGAGTTCCAGTCGGGACTAATCGCGTTGTCGATCACTGTACGTTTTTCATATATACATCATTATTGTCTTTCCAGGCTAGATCACCCAGCGAGCCACTGGATGATCACGCATCCCCTCCCTGTCTAAATCATCCGTGAATGTAGATGCTTCAGGTGAACACCATGCCGGTCACGTGAGCTTAACAAGTATGTTCATTCTATCTTCCGCTGTTTTATCAGTCATTTCGCTTTTTCCGCCAGTCCGAAATTCGAAGCTTAATGATAGCATTCCCTCCTAGTGAGAACTTTACTCCTATTTAGTCGGCTGCTGCCTGGACAGTTACATAGGTTAAACGATGAGGCGATAGAGTCAACGATTTAAATGAGTTTTGTTTTATCCTGACTTTGGACACGCTACTGATCTTGTGGCTGCTTTCAGTACGGTTTGGAATACCAGACTTCGTGTGATGCCTCGTAGAAGCATTTGAAGTGTGTTTCCATACAGCAACTTCGTACAACCTGATCGACAACCTATTGTTATTCTCATAGAGCTCACCAAACTCTCCGCAGTTTTATCAGACTGTGCCGAGGGTTATCGATTTTCGCTGGACTGACTACTCTTTGTTTTAAGTGACTGTGTTCGTTAGCAGTCTTGCGACGATGGGATCCTGCCAGAAAGTTCGCTGAAGTTTTGTTGAACCCCAGAGTTTTCACAGTGAACCATGTATAAATACCATAGTTGTCCACATCTAAATGATCAGGCCCTCGACTTAACATATGCACTGCTCATTTTAAGTCCTTCCTAGTAAGGACCACCTCCCAGAGGAAGCTGCTGTTGGCCAGCCTCTTCAGGTGGCCTCTCTAGAGGTGAAAAACTTTAGTTCGCAAGTCTTGATTCAGTGAATGAAAAATCCACCAAGACGGCCTACTATTCAGACCTGATTAGAGTGGGGAAGATTGTACGATTGGGTGTGTCTGGAGCATTGGGACATCGGTTCGATCAGGACTGATTGTCGAAATTGTTTGCGATTTTCCCTGAGTAATGTCAGCTAAATTTTCCCGCATCTGAGTGAAAAGCCATAGTTGTATTTGTTGTTAGCATAATCTAGTCCTGTTCGAAATACTGCATGAAGTTTTTGCTTTGCTATAAACATTATCCAAGACTGTGCTACCCATGTCGAGTTATCGTCCACCAAGAAGATTGTTTTCCACAAGAGATTCGGAGTAGCTAAAACCAAGAAGTAGGATGAGCGTAATATAGCAGGGAGGGACCAAAAACGAAACGTCTGACTGTCCTCGGTAGTTTCGGGATGGAATCCGCGTAAAATTCTCTGTTCTTGGCTGGAGACGTTGAAAATTGTGGCCATTAACCGATGTCAGTGACGCCTTAGTTGTTGTTCTCTGTTCAGATCGTGTAACTGGATGGTTAGGAGTGCGATCGCTTCGCATGTATGTGGTAAGCTAACATCAGACACCTCTTCTGGACTGATTTGCACATTTTTGGGCTTTATCTGAGTAAATTAACATGGTTACGCTACAGGTAAGCTCCAATGTTTCCCTCCGGTGCTGTCGTCAGTGCTAATGATAATGAAATTGGTGTTTTAGGGCCGTGCAATTATCCCTGTGCATTAGGAGCATCTGAGGGCTATAACCGTTTTTTTCAGCACTGCTACTTCAGCTCCGTAAACCCATCACATTATGGAAATACAATGATCCTCACGATTCGTACTAGGTAAGGAGTTTCCATTCAAAGAGGGACCTCGTATACAGTTTTACCAAATGTTTTTTGTCGGGTGTAACGGTTAATTTCCGAAGAATCCCATTATCTGTTATCAACTCAAAAGCATTATTGAATTATTTAAACCTATATGAAATATTATTCTTCCGCAGTTATGACCATGAGGCACTACTACAAGCCGCACCGCAATTTTTGTGGGAAGTGTCACTACCATTTCATGATTTGGCTCGAGCAGATTGATACTTGTTAGACAGTGTCTCGAGCAATTCGACTGAACAACAATCTAGGATAGGAATATCTCATCGTGATTGGATTATCTAGAGGCCTATACTACCAGAGGAGCTGTTACCTAGACATTTAGTTCAATTAGTTCATTTACTGTCCTTAATCTTGGTGAAAACCATCAGAACAACCACTGTTGAATTCATACGTTAAGCCACGTCTCATTCATCGATGCCGTGCACGTGAACCAAGAGGACACTTTTATACGATACGCTCAGTTGTCAAGCTCATTAGTCAGTGCCGGAGGTAACTATTGGGACCAGGCTTCGCGTCTAAACACCCTGCCAGCCATGATTGAACAGAAGTCAATCATCATGCCCAGGATTGTTCCAGTTTACTGATTATTGAAAAAGATTATCTCTGGTGCAAACCAGCAAGGTTAAATTTGACGAATTTTCTTGCCCATCTTCTAGGGTTGTTCATTCAACAAACGCTACGAGCAACCGAATGATCAAGTGTGCAATGTCGCTGGCTCGAGACTCTAGTCTCGCGAGGTGCGCACCGCTGATTCTTAATGAGGATGAAACAGCTGTACAGTGCGTCTTGGTTTTCCAGCATAGATTGACTTCCCTTACAGAAGGAAATCTCCTTCAAGAGTGGTTGCAAGATGATTTTCTACTGTTTTAATTCCGATACGTCAACTTGGTATCAACGATCGCGATAGGCGGCCTATGACGGATCAGTGCAGTAGCCCCTTATGCACGCCATAAGCAATCATAGCAATGAAAATTCTGTTGTTCACTTCGTCTTGTCTCCCAGAAGAAATATGGATAGACCTTCTACAATGCCCCACCATGATAATACACAAAAGGGCAAGTCTGCTGTCGTCCTAGGCGTAAGGATCTTGCGCTTCGCTTCGCTGTTATGCTGTTTATCGACAACGTTTGTCGAATAATGAAGGCAACCCCATTCCACCCATCATTTTTCACCTACCTGATTAACTCGCCTCACCACGCCCCATTGATGATGTCACACATGTAGTAGTTGCCTTAAACCATATCTTCCCTGACCTATTAATTTCCAGCTCCACCCAATGGAAACAACAGTATCCAGCTGTCGCATCCTGAACCGAAAAGTTTTGCATTTTGTCCTGTGATTGCTTATCATGTGATGTCGTTGTATTTGTTCTTGATGTCAGTATCTCCCAACTTCCCCTTAGAAGTTCGTTCATCTGCTTTTTGATGCGCCTCGGCTCACGGTATCGCTTGCTCATTCGTTCACCTTGCTGTAAACTTATAACCCACTTTTTTCACAGATGCTTCACCGCATGCAAAGAATAAATGGGCATTTGTTTTGCGTCTGGTTAAGGCCTTGCCTCTTGTTGTCCATTTTCATCACTAAGTGCTTTTCACCACGTGACCGTCCCAATCCTATCCCTTCCCGAGGGTACCTGCAGCAGCGCTTAGAAATTCATCTCCATGATTGCGTCTATTATGTAAAATTGTATGGAAAAGTGTGTGGACAAAATCAAGTCTCAGCGATTAGGAGCACATGTCTGCTTTCATTAGGTTATTTTACTACTACAGAGACACGAAAATAACCTTTGTGGATGCCCTTCACAGTCTCACCAGCATGCGCAAAACTGGCCTGCTGATACCTGGGAGGTTGGTTAAGACAGTAACATATATGGGTAGCGATATCTTCATAATGAATGATAACGGATGCAACTAACCAGAACGGCCGACCTTAATGTACACTTACCATTTGCCTGTGGCCAAATCCTTTCAGGAGGAGAGGATTTTCGATGATTCAACACAAACATGAATCATCGGCTATTATTCGGTTGCTTGTGCACTTACACTTGGAACTAACATACCTTTGGTGCATAGTGTATAGAGCATAAAACTGAACTGAATATTCAAGTACCTTCACAAATGCTCTACAGTCGTCCCTTATATGATTACTGTTCGCACTCCGTTCCACGGCATACAGTTGCCAAAAGTCATCAATACCTTGTGTGTTGGAAAATACCTTCCCTAAGCCGGAACTTGCCGTACAATTTGAAAGCCAACAATACATCTTCCAAGTTAGTTGCTTAGAGAGATGAGTTATTTCCCACTCTAATTATACTTAAACTGCCTTTCTCACCCATCGCCGAGCTGGAGATTTGTCAGTAATTTCTGTTTGTCCAGAAAGTAAATTAACTCCGTTAAATCTGTATTTTGTTTTTCGGCAACGGGCAATGCTGCCAGAATCAAGTCAAACTGTGGTGAAATAGAATGGGCTTCAGGTCTGTCAACGCACACCATTTGACACAATCAAGGTCATCGTGGGATGGCAACGCATTTTTGCATTTCGGGTAGCGCGCACGCTGTTCGAAGCACTTGGGGCTGAATTTTCAAGTTTCCATTTCAAACCGCCCACTATTGCGATGCTACCGACTGTACAAATCTGTCTACACAAGTACTTCCTCAAAACCGCTAACAATGAGCCCGACACGTTTGATCCCTTTTCATCGACAGCACATCAGTATTGAACCCCAAAACTTCAATGCCGCACAATCCTAATTTATTTTACCTTGTCGTAAAAAGCAGTGGGAGAAGGCAGTTAAGGGACCTAGTATCTTCGAGACACGGAATCAGGTAATCTGGGGAGAAATTGATAAGAACGTCATTGACATCAACTAGAATCCACATTTTGCAGCGTATCCAGCCAAACAGGATGAATAACGCGAACTTCGTGCCGGAAGGGTGTTCGCACCCACACTATCCAGACTTTTTGTAGTAACTTTCATACCCGTTTGTTAGGTCAGAGGTTGACCACACGGATCGCTAATTTGAAAGCGCTAATAATCTTCCAGCTGACCGCGTCAAAATATAGATAGATGAGGTGAACTCGCTGATTGCTCATCTGCTTATCGAGCTTGTCAATTAGCCTGTAAATGTTTAAGTACCGATAGAGGAGACATCACCAACCCATCCGACCGCACATTGATGTGTTCTTGGTTGATGACGGAAACATTGCAAGCTCATTTTCAAGTTCAGCGAATGAATCAACGACGAGTAATTGTTTAGCTGCAGCACTCTTTCGGTACATATCTGGGGCATAGCTCGAAGAAATTGCGAGAACTGGGACACTGTCATACTACCCTTACCTTGATAAGCTCTATGCTTTAGTTCTCCATGAATGTCCGAAACGGTACCATTCTTCCAATTTGGTAAAGACTTGAGCGTCAGAAACCATTTGATTTTGCTGTATTGTACAGCTGTGCACGGGCACAGATCTACTTAAGTACTACAACGGCTTGTCTGGCTATCTAATGATAATGCAAAAGCTCAGTTGACGAAATACTGAATGGAGTCTCAGGCCCTCAGAACTGTTGTGGTCATTTCTAAATTGATCAACCGATGACCCGGTTCAAATTTCCCCAGTTTCGGAGCCCGGATGGATCTTGAGCCTGCAAACAGGTTTTCCAAGTTAACAAAACATGCGCATCCTCGCTATCGTCATACATCCGTTAGCGACCGGTGGCTGGTGACTCTTCAGTTGCATCGCTTCATCTGAAAAAAAGCAAAAGGATTGATAATAGTGCTGGCATCTCAATCAAAACCACCAAATCTTTTCTAAGTTCTTTGGTTCCATTTTGAATAATTTTTTGTAAATATTTGGGACCCGTGGTGTATAAAGTATCATATTTTCGGACAACCCTGCTCAACGTTTCAGGAACCAGCTGTCTCATTACTGCTGCAGATTCACACCAAAAATCTGTGATATGAAGTATGTGACTAAACTGGTCAGCTCTGGTTTCCAGCTAAATCCGCTGTCTATGACGATGATAGCAGCGAAATTAGAGATGGTTATATTTGTCACAGTGCGAAATTCCACAGTTTGTAAATTTTCCCTTTTTCAAAGGCCAGGATAGGCTTCGCTTGGACCGTTTCGCTTAATGACTGGTCATAATCCCGTTGCATGTCTGCGCGTTTCTAAGCTCTAGCTAGATTTGATCAAGTTTATTAGAACAATGATCACTACAGTTACAGAATTAGCAGACCATTCGGTATCCCCTCTACGTGCACACACACACAATGGCCGACTGTGTGTTTTGCCGATGGATAATTCCGTAAGCTAATTCAGATGCTAGGTGTGTTCGTGAACTTGGAATTTTAAAAACAACAGAAGAGCAAAACGTCCAGTTCAGTTTATCAGCTATAGACCATGCTCCAGTGGTACATTGATTCCAGCTGCTACTGTTTCGACTTTAGCTCCAGACCGCCTCGTGATACGATTTCTCGCGGTACAAGGACTCGCTGTTCTTCGTTGGCCTTCGTGGTATAGTTGAACCTTGGAAAGCTAAGTTGCTGCCCGCATAATTGTTGCAGCACCGTAGCCCGACAACCTCGACGAGGTTACAGTTTTAGGTAGAATAGAGACTCCCCGTACTGTTTTATGAACATACCAATTAATCGAGAAGCAAATAAAGTTGTTTACTTTTGGCTGAAATTCCCTATCACGCTAGAGTCAGTTGCGGGTAATTGTCACCATCCAAGGCTCTCCCACAGGACGCCTGATGCGGTGCAGTACATATGCTTAGGCAAGTTGTCTCCACTTTCGTGGTTATGGTCTCATCAGTTGATGATTGGTTAAAGGAGTGTACTCGGCTGAACTCTTTCTTTCATTACTGTAGTCTTCTTCCTAACGATTGCGAACTTTCTGTGACACTACAGAAACGAGTCTATTAAATAACTATCTGAAATTGACTGCTTTTGTGAAGAACATGTAGATATGTGTGTTAACCGCGAGACTGTTTTTGAATCACAGATGCAAATGTTCTGGTGAAAGTAATTGATGCTAATCGCTTGTTCGGCATTGCCGCTCAGAACCCAGACTGTTGAGATACACGTTAATGTGAGCTATGACTTACCGCTTCTGTGCCACTCTGATGCGACCAGTTCTGTCGGCCACTGACTTAAAAATACATGGTCTACGTCATGCATTCCTCGCCATATTTTCACGGTCCCAGTACTGACCACTCCCGGTGTTCCTCCGGCTTTGCGTATCGCTTCTTCCCACTTGGGCAAAAATTCATTTTCGAATTGGTTGGGGTCAGGAACTTTGAACATGTCCAATTCGAAACACGCATAGGCTAAAAACAACGTAAACTATATGGACATTCAGAATGACATTTTTCTTCATCTGTTATTTGACAGCTTTATCAACGTTTCCTGACCATCGGATTGCAGCATTTATATCTCATGTATCCTGTTTCTTTTCTTGGACTATCTACCAAGTGCGAACCAATTTATGAGAGTAAGGTTCATTTACACTGTAGCCCTTGGGTTCTTGCTTTTTCCGTTCATGATCTTTGTCGCGATTTCTCATTTGTTCGTTTTTTATCTGTATAGACAGCAACAAAGCTGAGAATATTGGTGCTTCACTGCCATGCAACCATGTCGAATTATTTTAATAAATTCTTATAGTGAAAAGAAAAATGGGCCAGGGAGGGTGACCTTAGCCTGGCCTACGGCAAATATTCGTGTGTGACTAGTGTGTTTTTCTACGAATAAAATCTTTCCTCTCTAATACTGTTCGGTCTCTTCTACTTTACTTTTAGGTCATACTTTGTTTTTGTACAATTCCTGGTGTCTGTAGGAGACCTTTTCTTGGCTTTTTTCTCCATTAAAATCAATCTACGCGACGTTACACGATTAGTTTATCAGGCAGTTTTTGAACGTTCCAGAAGAAGTATTATACCTACATACGACTGTAGTAGTTTACACTAAACCATCTGAGAACAGTGGTACATAGTACCGGGTATTCCAAACATTAAGACACTACATATCCGTTTTGAAATACCACCGCCTGAACCCTTCAGCGCAAACTCTACTTGGGTCACCTCTGTTAAGGATATGCGTTGAGCACTTCAATGCCACCCACACAAGTGGAACGATAAACCTGTTGTTTTGTTCCGATCGTTGATTCTGAGCTGAAGTGAGGTTTCAGTGTTGTACGGACGGAGAACCAGCAGTTTATCTTAAGGATAAGGATGATTGTACCAGCCGGAGGGAAATACACTCGTTCGTGACTGTAACTCCACAGGTGCTAAAAAATCAACTAGTTGTACGGAATACTGATGCAGAGTATTATTTAATTTGTTATAAAATGGTGACTTTGTCAACCTGTGTCACTAGCCTTTACTACTTACTCTCCAGTTCTTGGTGCAAGGGGAGCACCCACAGATCATGATCATCCAGCCAATCACTTTTTCGGAATTGCGGATCACTCTGTCGCCACCGCAGTGCTGTTTCTTCCGAATCGAACTGAAGCAACCCCATCGTCATATTTGGGCGCCATATTCCTTCAACGCACAACATCTGAATCAATGGATGAACAAAATCGATTTTGCACTTTGTTGTCTCCTCTCAGAAAGGATACTTGTTAGATTGGGTGGACACTATTGAGCAACAACTAGTAAAACCGATTTGATGTAGCCTGTTTACAGACGGACTAATCTTGTATCAATGGTCCAATTTGTGAATGTACATTCAAATTTGACGTCCCTGTCTGCTCTACGGATGCCAGTTGTCTGCAAATCAACGGTCGAGAAGCCCCTAGGCGCGCTACTATTTTGCATTCTTCAACTATTTATGTAGTTACTTGTTTGTTGGACCGGTGATGTGTCTTCCATCACTTCTGAAAGCGCGCCGTTTGCAAACTTGATTCATCAGACCTACGTTGGTAGATTTGGTAGTCATTTTCAACAAGATAATAATCACCAAATTCTAATGCTTTTTCCGAAAACCACATTCATTCACTCTGGATAGCATTTACACAGAGTAGGTTGCCTTCCAGTCGTTTAACATTTATCGTGTGATTGTTAGTTTTGATCACACTTGATTTAAAATCACTCGGCTTTTCCACACAGTAGACCATAATAGTATGCAATAAACTCTTTGGGATAAATGGTTTCAATGGACCCAATATTTGCCGGTGCAAAAACAAATACCGTCTAGGGAGAATTTGTCTCTTTTAAGTTAACAATTTTAATACCAACTGGGAAGAAGGCTAACACGTTCTATTAACAAGTGTCAAACAAAAGTGAAGGAAATCAGAAGAGTGAACTGGATCTGCGATAATGAACCGCACATATTCATCTACAAAAACGAAACTACTGCAACAAAGCCGCCAAGAATGTTTTCTGACGATTGTGGATGCAAAGAACGTTGTGCGAAAGACGCTTACTTAGTTTGCAGTTCGCTTTATTTCATGATTACTCAAGCTTTGTATCGCTGCTGGTCATTCGCATTAGTTGATTTGGATCTTAGCTTTGTACTTGAGTGCTTTTTTGTAAGATCACGTAGGAAAAAGAGGAAGATTGTTTCACCGACGTTACATCGATTTGTTGGGTATGAGAGGTTGTTAAGACCTTGGGACAATACAGAAGTGTCCGATTTCCAAAATCTCTCTTAGCTCCTGTAACGCGTTTATGCATTGTTCATGTGCACGCGGATCAGACAAGATAACTAATGTTCCCAAGACCCTCGAACTAGCTCAGTGGTAAATGTGTGAACTTAGTGACCGAAGTCCAGTGGTTCGAAACCAATCTTAGCATCTAGACCTCTGCAGCCTAGAATTGGGCAACCTGGCACTATCGAAGCCCTCACGTCTCCTTCGAGTGGCATGGCACAAAAGGATGTTACAGCAGAATGGTGTTTTTAGAATAAAGAAGTTTGAGTTAATGAAACTGAAGGATCTAATCGTCGTTTCATTCCCTTGTGATATGTACTATTGTCTAGGTTGAGTGGGTCAAGGTGTGTTGTGAGTGCGTTAAAGAGTTCCCTTACTGGCAAGTTATAGACAATTGCTGTAAATAAAATACTGACAACAAAAACAATAATGGTAAAGTAATGATAGGTTTTTGACTGACTGTTAAAATTCGTCTCAACTGTGCGTCATACGGGTGCGACTTTGGGCCGTTATGATGCTGCCGCAGTTTGTACCGTCGTTGGTTTTGTGAATCAACCAAACTTAGTTGCTATTCGGTACTCATTGTCATTCATTCATCGACAACCTGGCATAAGTGTTAAACACTGGTGCTTCGCTGCTATACAACCATGATCTATTTCAAGGCCCCGTTGTGAAAGAAAACAATAAAAGTGGACAGGGAATGAACTTAATGTTAGATTACTACAATCGTTCCAAGTTTTTTACACCTTCAGACATTCAATCAGCCAATCTGGATAGAAACTGACAACAACGACGCTGCTGACATCGACTAGCACTCATATCTTGCAGCGGCTCCAACCAGGCGCAATTGGATCACGCGTTCCTCATAATGAAAGGTGAGTAGCACCCAAAAGTCTCGTAATCTCTTTCCTGCCCGTCTAATAGGTCGACGGTTGGCCTTCTCATTGCTCCCGGAGCTGTGAATTGGGCACATAAAACAGCACCCTCTTCGACAAAAGATAGTGTAGTATAGGGAGTATATGGCCTAACGAACGCAACTTCTGGTACGGTACTGGACACTTTTTCGATAGAATTCCTTGTTGCACAACCGAAAAATCGCTTTCTAACTGCCTCATCACAGGTTCGCCGACACCATTCAGCACGAGCTATGGTTCCGCTGGTCGAACAGTTTAAGTTCCATAGCCATACAAAAAACAACCCGTGGTATACCTTGAGATTCAGGGATACGCAGCTTTAACACCATAGCTATCCCAAATCAGCAAACGTGCACCGACCTTACCTGTCACACTACAATCAGTCATTTTAAGTATTATGGACTGCGTGACCATCAGTCACCAGTAGAGAGCCATAAGTTAAGACTGCCGTTCTTTCTGGGGCACACCACTTGATTCCGATTACGCCATGGTGGGTGCACGCCTGACAGTTAGTATCCCTCCCGCCCCCGCAAGTCAGCAAGAAACATGCTAATCCACTGTCTACCACTACCATGGCTCAACAGTATCGATTTGAGTTAGCCTAACAACCCTCCACAGTAAACTCACTGTGGTGGCAGTGAGCATGTGGATGGGGCGTAGCAAAATGTGAAAGGAGCTACGTTAGCAGCGTTCACTGCTGTCTGTCCGACTTCTCCGATCCGACCACAAGACTGCTGGATGTCTTTGAGTTCGCTATCCATTACTGATGCCAGGAAATCCATACAAGCAGACAACGAGTACGACGGCGCACGCAAATCCCTCAAACACCAAATAGTGAGGAGCCTAAGGAAAGACCGAGAGCTCTGTAGACATCGAAAGCTCGTGGGATGGAGAAGGATTTTGCCATGAGAGACAGCAGTACGTTATATCAATTGATACGATCGACTGACCCTTGGAAAGCAACGGTCAACGAAGCGATAAGTGGCCCAATATTTCACTCGTAAAAAACGTTGGCTGGAAAGATGGAACATATCGACGAACAGTTCGGCTGGTTTTCTGCAACGCAGCCTGTAGAGATAGTGCATACGGGCGAATGGAGTAGAAACTTTGATCGTTCGACGGAAGAAATATAGTCAGTGACACGTGACAAGACACCAGGACCGAACCGTCTGTATCCAGTGCTCTTCAAGAAGGTCTAGAATCCCTGATGACCCACCTGACAAAACGCATTGGTGTCTGCAGGATGTAGCATCCCGACAGTTATTCCTATCTTCAAGAAGGGCACCTGGATGCTGCGTGAAAGCCATCGTGGCGTCAGTCTCGCACTGAGCAACAGTTTTCCAGATGCAACGTACACCTGGTGTTCTTTCACTGATGAACATCATGAAGCCAGATTGACCATGCAGCTATTAACTGCCAGTAGAGAGGCCTTAGTACTGATCACTCGTTTTCTGGAATAATAACATGGATTACGTTCATTCTTGTGTACACTACAAAGGTTCGATGAAATTCACCTGGAGCTTCAAGAACCAAACTTCTAGCCTGGTCATCAAAAACTGACCTACATGCCACGACTGACATACGTCACGAAACTGGCCTAGTTAGAGGTATAGGAGCTGCACCTATAGAAGAGGACAATCTCAACTGGGATAAGATGGGCTCCGCCAGTCATAAGCAGTAAAACCAGCATGTAGTTTTTCTGAGCGCCACCAGAATAAGCACCAGGTTTCAGTGCAGTTGCTGTTGATCTTCTATGCGGGGAATTACCCATACTTTCCCTGTGTATAATTCATCTAGGTCTGTTAGACGTCAGGTCAACCACAGCCTGTCTGCGCATAGACAGACTTGTTCAAATCAAGAAGCCCAGTAGGTCGATTAAGCTAGATTGTTTCGGCGAATATTTACATCAGACATTCGTTTGAACATCTGCTACTCTATCTGTTTTTTATTCGATCAATTCCATTCGGACATCGATTTGCCAATCACATTATTTTGATATGGACTCACTGGGCAAATGCATGTATAAATGATAAAAGGTTTGAAGAAAGAGAACATTACAGCGCTACTGGAAAAACATTATAGTACACAAGAAACTGGGTGGCCTTCGACCAGTCTCAGTTAATGACGTTCATCCCAAAGCCAGAACCTGGTTCCCTGGTTGAGCTGTTTTTCAGGAATAAGAGACTGGATACACGAGCTAATTTTTGCTTGGATGCATGCTATTCTTTAGCGCAAAATTTCAAAGTCCTAAGAGTGCATGTGTCTAGTCAGCCACTGTTTGGTTCACGACTTTCGGAGGGATGAAATGCGGATTTATTGGCTAGTACTTGACAGTTTTGGACCGAATAATGCCTGTGTAGACGAAGTGATAGGTATGTTTGGCAGAATCTGAAAAGATTTTGAACAGTGCTTCCACTGATTTACTGGCCAAGAAACTAAATTTTTGTGTCGGCATCACCAGTGCTTTGTCGCAGATTTTCCAGTTCGTGTATAACTGCTGTTACGGTGAAGGTGGCTTCACTGAGAACGCGAACAGTGAGAGAAATTGTGCGCAATATACACTGGCTGTATAAAGTAAACATCGCATCCAGCGTGGTGCGACTTATTCTGTTAGGTGTCTCTATAGCGCTTATCAGCCACCTGAGCTTTGTCGAACGGTTGGAAATGCCATAAAGGAGCTCGAGAAATGGGTGAGGTGATCCGAGCCTTTAAGAAGGTGGCACAATGCATCCTGATATAAAAACGAAACCCCGTTTTATTGTGAATGAGGATCTGCGAATATAGTCTTAAAAAATCTCAAGGTCCGTTCTAGACAAGGATACCATTCCGAATAATGGGCTAGCGAAACTCGTATATCTATACAGAACATAATTCAAATTTTACAAAACTAACGTGAAGTTATTTACTTACATCTTCTGCGTACCCCACTGGTTTACCATTACCGTAAGTTCTCATCACATTTTTCTGTGAAACAAGTCGGTTGTTGAAAGACTTCGTCAGCTGGTTATCAAAAATATAAAGTAGTAAAATTTTATGTTTGTCTGAAACGCATTAGTGGTTCATGCTCTCTGATAGTTACCCAAACATTCACAGGGCATGACTATGAAATTTCCAATCTGAATAGTTGCCAATCTGGATGTTGCCTGGTTTCGATGGTTTTGTGCATCCAAACATAGGTGAGTTCGGCTTGTAGCAGACTACTTCGAACTGAGATGGGATGGTATGGCCGACCGGGAAGCCGAAAAATCTGTGCGGTTTATTATTTACCGAGTACGACCGAATGGTTTTAACGCTCCCGCAATGCACTCAGCTTGTGGCGCAAGTTTCGTACCACTTCATTTTGGGGCGCTCATTATTCGCGCAACGGAATGGAATTTTCGAAAGATATGATGTCTCCTTGATGAAGCAAATCATAACCGACTGGCCGGGGAAGATGCAAATAGTCACTGACATTTGCAGTGGTCTCCATATTGGAAGCCATTGTTGACCGTATTGAGTCTGGCCACGCAAGGCTGTGTAAATAGGAGGCGCCGGCAAAGCACGCCTTGACAGCATGCCGAGTGAGATGGATGATACTTTCAGAGTCCAATCGTTGTGGCATTGAGATATAAATACAATAACTGATGAGACATCCGTCTGGTACGCCATTAGGGTCACAGTCGTGCAAGTTACCTTATCCACAGTTCAGCTTGAGTTAATGAGATGCGCTGCACGTTGCCTTCCGCCGGAAGGTTTCCCGCTGATAGAGCACCAGAGTTCATTTTGTTCAACAGCTGTCAAAATATCAAAATGGATCGAAAGCTCTTTGATTGCACCTTCCAATACCTTCAAAGCGACTGAACGTCAGGAGCAAACACGACGCATAAAGCTTTGCGAAAATTTCAATTGTGCATCAGTCTGTACATTCTGGCAGCTGGTGCCTGGAAACTCTATTTTGTCGTTGGTGGTTCGCTACGCTTTGTTTGTGTGTCCTTATAATCCCCATTATATGCCAGGACGACCATTCCATTTGCCTAAATGACGCACGCAACAACATTTAGCTAAGGGGTATCGACACCCAATCAAATAACCGAAGTGCAGCCATCCATCTCTGGAGGAGAAAACTCGAAGGTTCTAATTGTACGATACAACATGTTAAACTTTATTGGTCGCTTTGGTTAGTATGTATGTTCTACAGGGATGCGTACGGCCTTCTTGGTGAGTAGTGACGTTAGTGATGTCTCAGAATGGGAGGAAGAGATAAAAGAGCTTAGGAGAATGTCACTATGAGACAAATGGCTGACGCTGGGAGAAATACTTACCTTATAAATTGAGCACTTCAGCGGTGGTCATGTCGTGGAAACTTGTTTACACAACGCTATCTTCCCCGGCCGATTCGCGTTGCATGATTTCTCGTAGCTTGATGCTTACCAACGATATGTCTCAAAAATACAAGGCTCAGGATATACGCATGAAATCTCAGGATAAGGCGGACAGACTGGAGTTGCTGGGCCCCGCATGAAATCATCGTCAACCTTTCCTTCTAGTTGTTGCTCTGCATCGTTGTTCTTAGCAGCAATATTTTGATACTAGTGGTTATGTTGAATCCTAACAGGTGGGTGACAATGTCAGCCATGTTTACGATGTTACAGTCAGAATAAAAGCATGACTGGTGTGACTTGTGTTTGCTGATGTTTAGCAGAAATTCATCCGGGGGCTCACTCTCAGGATAAGCATGGAGAGCACCATCGCACAGTGGGCGACGTTCACCATACTATCAGTCGACATGAAATGTTACTCGCTCCGTTGCACACCAGAAATCGGTGGTGCTGGTCGACCGGCCTTAAAGCATACAAAAGCTTAAATCTGTGTACCTGGACCTTACCTGGGTCGAAGTGCAGCGACTACACCGACACCGACTACAGATCGTCAGTTGCAGACGTCGAGGCTTGAGGCACCAGCATCACGGATTCACGGATTGATACACAGGATCGAGGCTTTTGCCCAAGTTTCCCGGGTCGGTTTTGTTCTTGTCGGTCAGTGGCTGTCGTTCACCTGAAAGGCACAAGTGAAAAAAGGGTGTAGCACTGCTCTTTATGTTCTCAGCGCGGGGCAGAATGCTCGCTAGCGCGAGGATTCGCATAAATAAATGTCTAATAGTGCTTTAAATTGGGTTCGAGAAGGAGCATGCCGAAACAATACCCGAGCTACTACCGGAAATGAAAAAAAATTGTCTAATGAATGTGCGTGACCTGAGCTTGCAAATTTTCCTACTATATCCCCGCCAGGTGTTTGCTGGGTCAACGGTAAATCCTGTTTATCATGCTTTGTTCAAACAGGGCGTAAGTGAGGATTAGGTCCCCTCGGGGGCGACTGTACTCCAGGGGAAAGAGATCACGCAAAGCTAGACGCGTTTCGTAGTCCATGGATTTGAGACCGGCAACTCATCTCTTAGCGGCCCGTTGGACACACTCAATGAGGATGACGTCTTTCGTACGTCCTTAGTAGACAACTTGGTTGGCGTACTCCAGGAGCGGTCTGACGTAGGCCCCATAGGGTATTTGGAAGTCCATGCGAGTAATACGGGAGAAGGTACGTCGGATCATCCGTAAAATGGCGAATGCCTTTTGGGCCGATTTCTCATGGTGTAGTGCGAAGGCCATGTTTGAGGAGACCCAGATGCCTAAATCTTTTTTGGCATCTATCCTCATGATGTTTTCTGGTCCCTTTTCACCATGCATAACAAAGGCATTCGCTGAATCCCCTCCAAACGACACATGGACGCACTTTTCATCATTCAGAGGAAGGTGCCAGTCCAACGACCACTGCTTGGCAGCATCTCTCCCTGAACAATCAGCTGCCTTATCGAGGCTGTGACCCTCCTTTGTTCAAGCCCCTGAAGCATATCCACCACCCGATTCACTTGTTTACTTCAGGCGTCTTAGGCTTGGCAGCTTGCGAACAAGTGTAAGTGATACACTATGCTCCTGTGCGTTGCAATTCGGCGGCCACTGTCGATGGATGAAGAAACGACCAAGAAAAATATCTATGAAAGATGTTCCCTACTGCCCGGTGCCGACTGATCCTTAAGTGAGAGGGAGAACTGGATACATGTGGGCTACGTCGTCTGGAAGAATGGGTATGTGCAATCGCCAGCATAGATATCGGCCGTCTGAGTGCATCTGGATGTTTGCACTATGAACTACAAGTTGATCAACCTAGACTGCCTTGCCTTGTTTGTTCGAACGCTAAAATATTGCAGACTTGGGGGTCGTGGTCACGGTTGCCTCCAAACGAGGGAACATGCATACGTAGTCACTCGACAGATAACGTTCACAATATGGCCTCCGGCACACAGGATTTCCCGCCAGTCGCAGTGGGGTGATGTGCGCATCTCATATCCCTACATAAGCAACTATGCGTGCCGGGCACCTTCTGTATTGTGTGCTCCGGTGTGTCTGAGTGGGGCACTCCGTCTTTCAGGCAAGAGTTTCGGGTCTCTAGGCGGCTGTTTAACGCAATACCAAGATGGGTGATCCCTGTTTGTGCGTGCGCAGCACATTTTCGTGTGATCTACAACCAGTAGGTCGTGAGGTAAGAGACAAACCGTGGGTGAGTGTGGCGCATGTGTGCTAGTATGGTGAACAAAACACACGCTACGGCATTGTTCAGGCGAGCCATACGGTGGAATGCGTGTGAGTTTTCGGAGTGTCCCTGACCAAGAAAACAGAGATAATAAATTATATAATCGTGCACTCTAATAGCTTCTTCAATATGAAAGTGCACAACATGACATCGCAGCCAAACATCACTCTCACTGTTCGCATTTGTGCCGCAAACCTGTCCAGGAAAAAAGTCTGTCCGCAAACTACTTGCTTCCCACAAAGACGTACCTAACCGGACGTCAATGATCAGGAAGATGTAAGGCTGATATACACAGACCAGATATTAGTTGCTTTAAAAGGGTTCGTTGCGTGTTTTAACGAAATTTACTATGGTTCTCTGCCGTGCATATTGGTGTATGCTTTGAATATCGCCAATACCCGGTTCGGACGACCCGGCTGATTGTTATCCACTTCACATGGCCCGTGGTCTGCATCCACATGATCCTGAAACGGACCAAAAACTGCGCTCTCATATTGGCCTCCTTCTAGCTTTGTTTCCTCGACCAGACTGAAAGTAATCCCGCTGCTCAAAGAATTACACATCCCAGCCCAATGACCACAAATGTGATGTAATTTACGGGGCTGCCCAGAAAGCGAAGTATGTCAGGCCAATAATGGCATGGTACTGCTGTATCCAATTTGATAGCACATCCGCACATCTTTCCTCCTTTCTCTCGACCGTACCCACACGCCCACTTGTTCTATTAACTGCATATACGAACAGATTCCCCATCCAGCCCCAGCTGCATCCATGACATGTTCATTCCGATCTGGTGAAACTTGTGTTCAGACTTAGCCATTTCAGTGGGCCTGTGCTTACAGGAAAATTCAATAAATTTCTATACAGTTCGCGTTCTGGCTCGTGTGTTGCCATAATCTCATTCTTCTAAAGAATAGCTAGGCCCGACACCACAACAGCGACAAATTTTGGTTTCTACAGTTCCACGGCACGCCGTAATTTTGAGATTGCTATTACCACTTATCCGCTTTGCCAATCACTCCAATTCACCATCCACACTTACGCTTTTATGACCCTGGCCATGAGCCAAGCGGTCCAAGGCCATGAGGTCTAAGCGGTGGTTCTAGGTTTTGGTACATTTTGACCGGCTGGATGACGCCAACAGTGTTGTTTCATCAGATCCGATGTTCTTGTTCCTCAGTGTTCACCGTTCACACTTTTCTTGCCATGTGTTGGGCAAGCATTCTCTTACTCTGCTCTCCCTCGCTTTGTTTTTTGCCCGCCACCTTCAAATACTAACGATCCTATCTCTTCAAAAAAAACACAGTAACTGTACTTCGCCGCCCGTGCCGGTTTGGTAGTGACCACGCCGACGTAGGTGAACGCCCACCGCCTATGACGCTGTCACTTTTCCTAAACTCTACCTGTATACATAATCATCGCCAGTCATGCTTTCGTTCTGACTGTAAAATTATGATCATGTCATCCGCAGGTTGAGAACAAACGTTATTATTTTTGTGATCATTAC